CTGTTAAAAACATCTGTTTTCCTAATTTATCTGTGCAGTTAAAAAACAAATTTACTATTATAATTAAATGTACACAAAAGATTACCAAAAAATCTGTCAAAACGTATAGGCAACATAGAAAATTGTTTGTTTGTGTTGAAATTAGGTCTACACTATCCATAATTGAGCTATTTAACACGTCAAGCTTTTGAGTATGTGCTTTCATTAAATGTGTTGCACAATTAATTGTTTAAATGTTTTTGTAATTGCAATTCTCGGTGTAGGTCTAGCGTCAATTAGATGTGAGCTGATCGAAGAAGTTGCGCGAACTTTTAAAACTGTAGCAAAATAACCCCACACAAATCAGTCCTATTTAGAGTACACGGAAAAAGTATTGCTCAATTTAAACGAATAAATAATGTCACTACCTTGAAACAAATGAAAGGTGTCTTGATTCAAACTCATCCAGTTTCCTCATGGTCATGGCAGGTGCGACGAATTAACGTAGATGGCAGCGCCCTCTGCTGCTGATAAAATAATCACAAAATTACTTTCTTGTAGACCTAACCACCGGCAATGTATTGGTTCTTTGTAATGAAAACGAAGAACGCATTATTATACGTATTTAATTAGTTTTAATCGGTGATACATTAGTTTGAGGCGTCAACCGAACGTCTCAAGAACAAAAAAGAAAGGGATCACTATTATTATAGCCATACCATCCGGAAAATATTAACAGTTTGTTGGTTGAAAACAAAATGAGGAGGAAATGTATTTATTCTGTCGATCAGGTTTAAAACATGCTATTAGCTAAATAATAGCATGCTAGCACAAGATCAACTGTCACCTGTAATCTGTTTTATTAAATATCCTGTGGGAAGCTTGAGACGATATACGTATACGTGAACTGAAATGAGCAGGTAAAGTCACGAGCTGAAATGGATAGTTCAATCAAAAAGAAAAATTACCTCATCATTTATTTATTCTCCCTCATCTTTTTAAACCTTTATGAGCTTCTATCTTCCCTTAAAGACAAAATAAGATATTTTGAAGAATGCTGACTGCTGTCATCCAACTTGAAGTTACTTTAAAATTACGGTGGAAATCAGTTGGTGCCAGCTACCAGCATTTTTAAAAATATCTTATTTTGTCTTCAACAGAAATCAAACAGGTTTTAAACAAGTGAATGAGAGTTAATGGTGAAGTGGAAAAATAATCTCTGACCTATCCCTTTAAATGAACAAGTACAGAAGAAAATTGTTAAAAAAAAAAAAAAAAAAAGATGAGATAAAGTATAAATCCAGCTTAAACCAGCCTAGGCTGGTTGGCTGGTTTTAGCTGGTTGACCAGGCTGGTTTTAGAGGGGTTTTGGCCATTTCCAGGCTGGTTTCCAGCCATTTCCAGCCTAGTCTTAGCTGGTCAGGCTGGAAAATGACCAGCCAAATCCAGCTAAAACCAGCTTGACAAGCCTGGTTTAAGCTGGATATAGCTGCTTTTGGCTGGGCTCCCAGCTTGGCTAGGCTGGTCAAGCTGGTTTTAGCTGGTCATCTCCCAGCCTGACCAGCTAAGACCAGGCTGGAAAATGGCTGGAAACCAGCCTGGAAGTGGCCAAAACCCCTCTAAAACCAGCCTGGTCGACCAGCCAACCAGCCTAGGCTGGTTTATGCTGGATTTTTCAGCAGGGTAATGATGATGTTGCTAACACTGTAAGTGTTAAAATGTTATAAACAGTTCTCTGCTGAAAAAAAAAACAAAAAAAAACAGCTTAAACCAGCCTAGGCTGATTGGCTGGCTTTAGCTGGTCGACCATGCAGCCTGGTTTAAGAGGGGGTTTGGCCATTTCCAGACTGGTTTCTGCAATTTCCAGCCTGGTCTTAGCTGGTCATACTGGTTTTAGCTGGTCATCTCCTAGCCTAACCAGCTAAGACCAGACTGGAAATGGCCAAAAATTCTCTAAAACCAGGCTGTTCGGCCAGCTAAAACCAGCTTATGCTGGCTTTTTCAGCAGGGCTGTGATTAAATTGAAGAGCATATTTAGTGTAAACAATTTAATAGCCTCTCCTAAATCTGTTAATCACTTAAAATGCAATATCTCAAACATGACATTTCTGGATGATAGAAAGTGTCATGATGAGGAACAGGCCTGTCATACACATGACAGTTTTCTCATAAAAACATGCAGAACATATTTAGCAAACAGTAAGAAACACGTCCAATCAAATCATGTTTAATGAGAATATTTTAATCTGGTTAATCTCACAAAAATAAATATGTATCCAAGTGCTCATGGTATTACAAATACTAATAAGCAAATGTGAAATGCTGTAAGACATTTTAAAATGATAAATGCCATATAAAATATCCAAATATAAATACAAAACAATCTTTCACAAAGAGACATCTTTGGTGTGTACAAAAAACTCGGAACATTTCAGTCATGAGAGTGCAAAAAAATATGTATAAAAACAATTGTAAACTAACAATACATATTTAGACAGTACAACCATACTCTTACAGTAAACCTTGTTATGTTTCTGTGTGCTTAATGAGAAATACTCTGTTGATGAATCACTCCATTTAGGCACTTGCAAATCACACTGTGATTTCGGCATAAATACATGAATTAAAAAATTTAGTAGGACCAAAAATAACAACAATAAAAAAAATCCTAAACTAAAAATCTAAATTAAACAGCAAGATTACTAATAATTTTAAGTTAACAATCAAATGCCTGACTGACCACGTGAGCTGCTTCGCACAAAATTACAGATGCTAACGGCCTGAATTGTAGCAATTAAAGCACAACAGGAGTCTAAAGGACAGCAGTATGAAAGGACATCAGCAAGTCTGATTAGCTTCAGTAAATTAAACTCAGAATGACTTGAGTCTTTGGACAATACAGACTAATTAATCATTTAAACACAAGTCGTAGCAATCAGTTTAACATCCCACATGATTATGGACAAGTGCTTAGTGCTCAGTAGAGTTGATCTCAAAAATAAAACTCTATATCAAACTCAACATTCAGCAATCTATCATAAATGTGCCTGACCACATGTAACAGAACAAACAAGCTCTTTCACTGTGTTCATAATGACTACATAACTTTCAATAGTGAAAAGGCATTCAATAACATATGTTGCTGATCATGACCTCAGTGGTTTGTAAAATTTTCGAACTGAATTATGAACAAAGCCAGTGAAACGACAATATAAATGTGATTATTATTACTATAAATAAATTATTATTATTATTATTATTATTATTATTATTTTTACAGCAGCTGCTTTCTGTAACACTCCCACATAGTAACATTTTGATGTCAAAACACTGATGTGTAACAATTTTATCATCTACTAGATCAGGGGTGGACAACCCTGTTCCTGGAGAGCCACCTTCCTGCAGATTTCAGTTGCTACCCATATCAAACACACCTGAATCAATTAATTAGGACCTGAACACTACATGATAATTACAGGCAGGTGTGTTTGATATGGGTTGCAACTGAAATCTGCAGGAAGGTAGATCTCCAGGAACAGGGTTGGCCACCCCTGCTCTAGATAAATACTCCAAGTTTTTTCTTTTGTAATTTATAGTTTTCACTAAACGTCACATTGAGGGCAAATCAAGGCTTTTGTCTATTAATTGCTATTTATTTGTCTTTTAACAAGTTTGTATCAGTACTAATGTAGTATAATAAAGAATAATATAAAAATAACACTTTTTTTTCTATGTAATTGTTGATTAAAACTATATACAAGTAAACAGGTCCATCCAATACACATTTTCCCATAGAAAATCTTTAAAATGGCTTAAATTATTTGTCTTAATGAAACTTTGATGATTGTTTGACATGTTGCTTTCTCTTTAGGCCAAAAACAGCTTGAAAGCATGGCCTGTTTGATGTGTTTACGTCACTTCAAGCGGGAGCATTATTAAATGTTTTCTGACAAAATAAAGAAATTAGAAGCCATTTGTGTGATAAGGCTTTTGTGTTCTAGTGCTAGTCTGATGTTTTGGTCCTAATATTAATATTTATTTGTGCAAAGCCTACATTAGAAACTGGGAAACCTGCCACAGCAATAATCAAAGTCTGCTTTATTTTGTTTGGCAATTAATGAGGATGAAGCCAGTTTACAGAACTGCATTCTCTGGAATCCTGTCAAGCAGTGGACTTCTACATTCCGATTGGTTGCTGACACACCACGTCATAGCTCGTTACCATAAAGTAGAGTTGACCTGATTTCATCTCTCTTTGATGCCCACACTGCCCAATTCATTCTTGCTGGAGAATGCCGCCAACTCGCATTGAAATTAAATGACTTCTGACATCTTTGATGGCGGTGGGTATAATTGTGGGAAAAGTTTAATAAGATCGTTTTGTATCATTGTCTATTCAGCCCCACACATTAATTTGTGCATTTAGAAGAGTAAATATAAGTGAGATCCAAACACACCAAGATTTAGGATAAAATGGATAAAATGGATAAAATTTTAGGATAAAATGTTGGAAATTAAATTGATTTCTGATTTACTTTGGAGTAATTAAGAAATCTGTCACTTTCTGCCACACTGCATTGAGTTTAGGCATGGGACGATAACCATTTTTAAGGGTATACCGCGGTTTGGAAAAGTCAAGGTTTTAAAACCGTCAACATTTTCTTCTTTATCGTTCCTTTGGTATGTGTATGATTTTTTTATAGACTTTTTCTGTTTGTTTTTTTAAGGACAACAGTATCGCCAGAGGAAGAAAAAAAAAATAAAAATAAATAAATAAATAAATATATATATATATATATATATATATATATATATATATATATATATATATATATATATATATATATATATATATATATATATGCATTTTAAATGGTTAAAATAATATCTGTTTTTGAAATAAAGACAGCAGAAGTCAATAATTCTTTTAAATTATTTAGCCTGACATGTTTACTGTTCCAAAATATTTTAACTGTTTCTTAAAATAAAATATATTGTGTTTAAAAGGGGAAAAAAGTTGTTGTTTTTATGCCCAGACATTTAAATATATATATTTCAGAGCAGTAATCACAATACCGTAATAATTTTTATCCAAGGTTATCATACCGTCAGAATCTTACACCGGTCCATGCCTAATCCAGTGTTGACAGAATCGCTGGTGTTATAATGTTGTCATCTGTTGTATTGATTATTTTTAACTCATAAATCTAATATGCAGATCACATCAGTAAGACACTGTTCATTTGCTTGCTGTGACTTTGCTTTTAAACAAGACACAGGTGGACACAGTCATCAGTTGTGTATGTTTGAAAGAAGCCTATCACTTTTATGTAAATCTTTGCTAATATTATAAGTGGGCCTGAGAGAGTGTTATTAAATTTTAAAATAAATAGTTTATGACCCTTAGATGTTTATATTGTGAAATTATACGCTTTTTTTATTATATTAAGCCATGTTAATTTATTTTTTCTCCAAACATTATTTTAAATGTCTGTGTTGAGTTACTTCAATACTGCAACAGGTGCCCAAAACTTTTCTTCTTTGAGAAGTCATCTAAATATTAGAGGATTGAAATGAATGGAAACTTGTCAGATCTATTCCCCTCCATGTTTCCATGCGTCTAAAAACTTAGACGAATACCCATCATTTAGCTGCATCTGTTGTCTGTTGCAAGCGTCTGTTTAGAGTACTGTATATAGGTCATGTTCTGCACTTTTGTTCAGCTTTTCTCCTGTCCCGCCAGCTCAGTCATCTGAAACTTCTCTGATGATGGGGAAATTGGCAGAGAAACGGCGCCCTCTGCGGACTTGTAGTTGGCAGTGTTGGAGTCTGCGGCATTGGAAAATCCACTGGCTATGTCCTCGAATGTCCGACCTTTGGTCTCAGGAACACGGAAGTAGGTAAAAACAATGAAGACAACGAGGAGGATGAGGAATATGATAAACACGTAAGCCCCAATCTTTTTCTGCAAAGAAAACAAGTCAGACATTACATTTAGTAATAATACATTGAGTATCTGGGAATGTGATATTGTTGAATTCGATGACACAATTCTTACTGATAGTATTGGGAAAAGCAATCCAACAAGGAAGCTTGCGGTCCAATTGCAGCATCCTGCCACAGCCATCGCTGCTGGACGTGGACCCTGGGCGAATAACTCCGCAACTATGAACCATGGGATTGGTCCTGGTCCCATCTCAAAACTAGCCACAAATCCGAACACTGCCAGAATGGCCAGAACTTTGACTGTTGAAATTCCCTGATAGTCATGAATGGAATTTAAATCATTTGGGAGGAGAGAGAGAGAAAAGAAGCATTGAGGCAAGTCAGTGAATGAAAAATATAAGACATGCAAGTTGGCATTTATTAATGAGATCGCACACACTGACCTCTGACGGAGATGCAGAATCAATGATGGCAGTGCCGTTCTGAAGCAGTTTAGCCTTTTCTATTTCAGAGTCCTAAAAATAGGAAAAAGACAGAGAGAACTAAAAGTTTAACAAACATCTATTGCCTATTTTGTTATTTTCTTTATTCTATGGGTTTAATAGTTCAGCTAAAGAGAAATTTGTTTTATTTTTTAAGGATTTGGTTGTATGAGGATAAAAATACGATTTATTTATTTATTTTTTTAAATAACTGATCCATTGAATAGAAATGACTGTCAGCAATTGAATGACTTGATGATGAAGAGATCATCAACTTCAGCTTAACCTCAAGAAAACGGAAATGCTTGAAATTTCTGTCAACCCGACTCTACATCATAATTTTTCAATCCAAATGAATGGGGCAACCATTACTGCATCCAAAACGGTGAAAAGCCTTGGCGTAACGATTGATGACCAACTAAACTTCTCTGACCACATCTCTAGAGCTGCTAGCTTGCAGATTCCTGCTCTATAACATCAGAAAGGTCCGACCCTTCCAATCTGAACATGCAGCTCAACTCCTTGTTCAAGCTCTTGTTCTCTCCAGACTGGACTATTGCAAGTCTCTACTAGCTGGGCTCTATCAAACCTCTTCAGCTGCTCCAGATTGCAGCAGCACGAGTGGTCTTTAATGAACCTAAAAGAGCACATGTCACTCTGCTTCTTAACCGTTTGCACTGGCTGCCAGTTGCTGCTCGCATCAAATTCAAAGCTCTGATGTTTGCTTACAAAGTAACTTCTGGCTTTGCTCCTTCTTATCTGCTCTCACTTCTGCAGATTTATGTGCCCTCCAGAAACTTGTGTTCTGTGAATGAACGTCGCCTCGTGGTTCCATCCCAAAGAGGGAAGAAATTACTTTCCCGAACTCTCGCATTCAATCTGCCCAGTTGGTGGAATGAACTCCCTAACTGCATCAGAACGGCAGAGTCACTCGCTGTCTTCAAGAAATGACTAAAAACTCAACTATTTAGTCTCCACTTCACTTCCTAATTTGCAATTGCCTCTCTGATTCTACCGCTAACTGTATTACAAATAAATAAATAAAAATACTTTTGCTAGCTCTGGCTTTGCTTTTAAAAAAAAGACACAGGTGGACCCAGTCATCAGTGGTGTATTTTTAAAAGAAGCCAATTACTTCCAAATTATGCTGTTATTTTAATTTAAATATCTTGCTTATTTTATAAGTGGAACTGAGAGAATGCTGATACATTTCTTTAAATGCAGTTCATGAACCTTTGATGTTCATATTGTGGGCTTATATGCTTTCTTTTATATATTATACTTTATATATTGCCATGTTAAGCAGTTCTTACATTTAATATAAATGACTGTCAGCTTCATTCATGTTGACTATTTTGAAACTACTTTGGACCATTAAAAATTGCTTGCATTACAAATTTTCCAAAATCACTTTGATTTGATCTATTTTATTATGTTACACATAATTAATGACCTGGTGTGAGTAAATTATCCAGAATTTTTGTTTTTGTATGGGGAACTATTCAATTACTATTTACATTTAAATATCTATGATCCATCATGTTAAAAAATGTAAAAATCAAGTGATCAAAATGTTTGTAGTAAGTTGATTTCATTCAACTTAAATATGTTAAGTTGAGCATCCACTGATACATATATATATATATATATATATATATATATATATATATATATATATTTTTTTTTTTTTTTTTTCTTTCTTTCTTATTGAAGCTTCCCGTGAAAACACAACTACAACAAGACTCCACACCATAAAATCAATAATAAAAAATAGACTTTTTCAGGAGCATTAATGATTTTTCACTCACCACAAGTTTAAGAGATATGGTGACAAGCAGAACACAGAAAGTCATTCCAGTCAGTCCAATCAAATGCAGTGTTCTTCTCCCTGCTCTCTCCACCAGGAAGAGCTGTTGAGCAAAGCAGTGGAACCATCACTAACTGTCCATATTGCAAAACATTTCGGTAAACCCTTTTATAAAAGGTAATTAACTTAGAGTATGACAGAATAAAAGGAATTGGCAACTCTTTCCATATAGTACCATATAGTTTTATATAATTATTTTAGCTGAGCTGTGCAAACTTACAGAGACGACAGTGAAGACAGTGTTGACTACACCCATTCCAATGGTGGCAAAGACCGGCTCAGTTATGCCTGCGTTTCTAAAGATCTCTGTTGAGTAATACATGACCTGGAAAGTTAACAAAAAAACTATTGTTTCAGTCAGTTAAAAACATTCAAATAAGCATGAAACATGTTAAGGACCATTAAAAACTCAAGGTTAACACAACCACTGGAGAGAACACCTTAAGCATTAATGTGTATTTATGTGATCATGTATTCCAATACAAATATATGAACATTTGGAAAACAACAAACATGTTACACAAAGACTGTATTTATAACAAACTGGTGTGGTGAATTGTGCCAAGTGTGCACTGTGAGACTCACAGCATTAATGCCGGACAGTTGTTGGGAAAGCTGCAGGATTATGGCAATAATAATGGGCTGTCTGTAGGCAGGGTTACGGAACAGCTCTGGGATAGACACCCTTTTCTCCATGGACATTTTCATGGCCTCATCCTTCATTTCACGAATGTCATCCTCCACATCTGAATGTCCCCTGAGACTGGTCAGCGCTGAGAGGAAAAAAGAAAAATAAGCATCATCATGTCCTGAAGTAAAGCAGAAGTGGTGTGTCTATAGAATCTATTTAGGCAAAGTTGCTTTATGGCAGGGCAGGGGTGTCCACACTTGGTCCTGGAGGGCCGGTGTCCTGAAGAGTTTAGCTCCAACCCTTATCAAACACACCTGAGCCAGCTAATTAAGCTCCTATTAGATAAACTAGAAACTTCCTGGCAGGTGTGTTGAAGTAAGTTGGAGCTAAACACCCCTGCTTTAAGGTAGTGATGGTGAAATGAAGCTTTCTGAACCAGTGAAGCGCTCGACCCAATTGTATCGGAAAAAGGTTCGTTACTCGAAGCTTTCTAAATCAGAGCTTGATGAAGACCTCTTCTGGTTAACGTGTGGGAAAGCACTGTTTTGCAATAATGTCAAATGTTCACAACTGATCAACTCATTCATGTAGTAATACAACAACAGTAATTTAAACAAATTACTCAATTACTGTAGTTTTAACACATAAGGTATGTAACATTACACCACCGATGACTGTAGTAAAATCCAAGGTATTTATTTATATTTATCGTATTCCAACTAGTCCTTCACCCACCCACTTGAACCAGCGATTCCTGCATGGGAGGCGAATGCTCTAGGAGAAGGCTATGTGATTGATGCTTTTGGGTTGCATTTGCCAGCTGGGGTCCGTTCTTCGTACGTGGATTACTCAAGTTAGCTGGATTTGGATATTGACGATTTGACACGATCCAGGATCGTTTCGTTCTTCAAAGCTGATCCGAGAGTTGTTGTCATAGCAACAGTTCTGCTAGGTCAAACCTGATCGGGAGCAGGTTCAATTCATATAAACAGGATTAGATCGGCTCAGTTCAAGCAAAGATAATACAGAAAGTATGTTCCGAATTCTGATATTTTCTTACAGTAATAGTTATATACACTTGGGAAAATGGTACATATTTTTTAACTATATATATATATATATATAAAGTTATAGTCATTAATAAAATAAATAAAGTTATACATATTAATAAAACGTATGCAATCTGCACCCTCGAAATTAAAGTACAAAGATTGCCATCTGGTGGTGCAAAGAAAAAACTTGTTGATATGAACTTTTTAGATCGCTTTAGTACAAATTGTGTATAATAGAAATGCACAATATGTGACTTTTTTTAAAGCAATAATACATTTATGCAGTCATAAACATGTTTTCATTGTTAATATGCCAGTGATTTGATGCTTCACAAAAGTTTAGCAATATGAAAATGCTTTTGAAAACGTCCAGTTATTCTTTACACCGATTAAAAAACGGCTACTATTATAAAGAAAATCTTTTCTAAATGTAGAACTAAATACATTGATTTGCATTGAAATACATGATGAATACTCTTGTCTTGACAAATGAAAGTGGAAAGCCTGCAGCTAACAACAAATGTGGAAAGTTCTTGCGTGTCATATTTAACAAACCGTTTACTGCCAATTTGATGTAATTTTGCTCACATGGATAATTGAATATTAATCAGATGATGTCATTACGATGCTGTGCCGTCAGCCAATCGTTGCATTGCTGATCATGATTTCGAGGATCGATAGATCTGTCCTTCATAACACACGCAGCGATCTCAGATCAGTTTATCCAGACATTTTAATCTGATTCACAAACTTGTTTGAAGAACTAAATTAGCCAGAGATCAGTTATCAAGATTAAAAGATCCAGGATCTGCCAAATAATCTTAGATCATTTAAGCGAGGTACGAAGAACGGACCCCGGGTCTCTGTTAAACACAATACTGCGATATGCAATGGTTTTCTTTAAAGATAGTTATACAAAAATACACTAATACACTTTAGTATGGTTCAAAACCTTTTTACTATAAATACTATTGTATTTTAATTTAGTTACTGGTGTGTAGGACCGGTGCAGTGCTTTGAAACAGCAGAAATGTACGTAATCGATGCCTATCTCTCGCTATACACTTTACTAACCCATGAGGGTGTTTAAACCTTTGACTCAAAATTCGAAGCAGTGAAGTGGGTATAGACGAAAATGAAGCTTCAGACGTCACTGATCACGTGATGATGGCAAAATGAAGCTCAAGCTCCGGTACACTGCTTTACTGCGAGATGTATAGTTTTTTTGATACTTTAAGGCAAGTTATTTTATTATGTGAACACCTTTGAAATAATGGGGAATGAATAGGGAGACATGAAATTCTTCAAAACTGTTTGCCGCACGACTAAAACTCATATACTCATTGAATATCAGCGATGAAATTTAACAACAACAGTCTCTCCAATTGTGTTTCTTAAAGTTCGAATCAAACTAAAGAGGTTGCACAATGTAATGTGGATGTGCACTCAATGGAGACAATATCATGACATCAGCTTCATTTATGGCTGTTAGTAGTTGATTACGTTGTCAATCAAACGTAAATACTGTACGAATCAATAACTTGTTGCACATTATAATCCTCTGAATAATGTCTCATCTGATCATGTTTCCATCATGTGATCTGCATTTGAATGGTGGAAGCAGGAATTTATGAGGTTAGTACAGGACCGACAGTACCACACATTAGTTTCATACAAATTACAAAAGCGGAGAACATTTGTTTTTAAAGTATAGTTGGTTCATGAAAAACTTTACTCTTCAAGTAGATAACTTTTTCATGTTTGTGAGGCAAGTATTCACTGCAATTTCAGTATGTATATTCCAACTCATAACAATAAAGCTGCAGAAACTGTCATAAAAGCATATGTCTGGACTGAGCCACTCCCCCAAAGAAGTCAGTCAGTACTGATCGAAGATTGATGAGGGTGGGGTTTCCTTCAATAGAGCAGCCATATTGCCTATTATTGAAACAAATTTTAGTCTCTGATAGGTCATAGTTAACTGACCTTGGCGGGCTTCATCCTCCTTGTTTAGGCTGATCAGCAGGTATCGAGGGCTCTCAAGGCAGAAAATCAGCATTATGCTCTGTATTACTGCAGGAAGTGCCGTCAGAGCCAGCAGCAATGGCCACAAAGTCTGAGATCCTAGCAGTGACTCCAGACCCAAGATCTACCAGAAAGCACACAAAAATGACTCTTTTATGACTATTTTTATGACTTTGCAGTGTATAAATCTATTAGTCCTGCTTTTTTATCTGCTGAGCAGTATATAGGGAATATTGATGTGATCAGACTTTAAAGGCCCCAGTATACTTAAAACAGCTCTTTCATTCTTCATTTGAGGATAAAAATAAGTTTAAAAAGGCTGAGTGAAGCTAACACTTCAATGCGTTGCAGTTGTTGGACTTGTGTCATATTGCTTGCATTAACCACTACCACAATAGTGGCTGAGAGAGAAGAACAGTTCCAGCTTCTCGCACACTAGACGAGAAGTCCCACCGCAGCGTGCCACATCTTTACAGACATATACTAATATATATTTGAAGCGCAGACTATTTCAACATATGTATTACACAGTGGATGCCCTTCCAGCCGCAACCCAGTACTGGGAAACTCTCATTCACACACACACATACACACACTACCGCCAATTTAGTTTAGTCAATTCACATTGTCTTTGGACTGTGGGGGAAACAGACACACAGAGGAAATCCTCGCGAACACAGGGAGAACATGCAAACTCCACACAGAGATGCCAAATGGCCCAGCCAGGACTCGAACCAGTGACCTTCTTGCTGTGAGGCGACAGCGCTTACCACTGAGCCACCATGCCACCCATATGCACTGCAGACATACACATAAAATCTCTCCTTGAGTGACCACACAGGTGCAGATACATCTGTATCAGCTCTACTACTCAACTCTCCAGAGTATTCATATTGTTTACTTAGTGTTGTTAAGTTGGATGTTGTTTTCCTGTCTGGGGTCCGTTCTTCATACCTCGCTTAAATGATCTAAGATTATTTGGCAGATCCTGGATCTTTTAATCTTGATAACTGATCTCTCGCTACTTTGGTTCTTCAAACAAGTTCGCGAATCAGATTAGAATGTCTGGATGAACTGATCTGAGATCGCTGCGCGTCTTGTGAAGGACAGATCTATCAATCCTCGAAATCATGATCAGCAATGCAACGACTGGCTGACGGCACAGCGGCTTAATGACATCATCTGATTAATATTCAATTATCCATGTGAGCAAAATTACATCAAATTAGCAGTAAACGGCTTGTTAAATATGACACGCAATAACCTTCCACATTTGTTGTGAGCTGCAGGCTTTACACTTTCATGTGTCAAGAGTATTCATTATGTATTTCAATGCAAATCAATGTATTTAGTTCTACATTTAGAAAATATTTTCTTTATTATAGTAGCCGTTTTTTTTATCTGTGTAAAGAACAACTGGTTGTTTACAAAAGCATTTTCATATTGGTAAAGGTGTCTGCAACTTTTGTGAAGCATCAAATCACTGGCATATTAACTATCAAAACATGTTTATGACTGCATAAATGTATTATTGCTTTTAAAAAAAGTCACATATTCTGCATTTCTATTATACACAGTTTGTACTAAAGCTATCTAAAAAGTTCACATCAATAAGTTTTCTTATTCTTATTTCTTTTTTTATTAATATGTATAACTTAATTTATTTTTTTAATGACTATAACTCTATATATATATATGGTTAAAAATATGTACCATTTTCCCAAGTGTATAACTACTACTGTAAGAAAATATCAGAATTGGGAACATACTTTCTGTATTATCTTTGCTTGAACTGAGCCGATCTAATTCTGTTTATATGAATTGAACCTGCTCCCAATCAGGTTTGACCTAGCAGAACTGTTGCCATGACAACAACTCTCGGATCAGCTTTGAAGAACGAAACGATCCTGGATCGTGCCAAATCGTCAATAACCAAATCCAGCTAACTGAGTAATCCACGTACGAAGAACGGACCCCTGAACTGAGGATATGAGAAACAAATCAAATCGCAAGTCAAAGAAAGCGAAGCTCCAGAACATACCCATCTATTGTATAATCACCACAGTTCAATGGTAGCTCAAAGATGTTCAAGAGCCAAAACAAACTCCACCAAAAACGTTTGCTTTATTGAGCTGTTTTGAACTGATGAAACAAACTCAAAACTTCACTTTAACCAAATTTTGTCAAAGTCATTTCTGTTTATTCTTGATTTAATTTGAAGTGTATTGGGTCAGCCAAATTATAATAGCAAATGATAAGCGTGTAAATAATCAGAATGCTCACTTTTAAGCAAACTATCCCTTTAACGTATGAATTACATTCATCCAAAAGAAAATCTAACCTGTGCAACCAGGATGCCGATGACCACCCCGAGCTGGTGAAGAGTACCAAAAGCTCCTCGGAGTGCTGTTGGAGCAATTTCACCAACATACATGGGTGTCAGTCCAGTACTCAGGCCACAGAACACACCGATCACCAGTCGGCCTACTATCAGCAGCTCATAGGAAGAGCATATGCTAGATAAACCCATCAGGCCTCCACCAATCAGAGCCAGGATGTTGGACAGCAGCATGGACTTCCGTCTGAAAAGATTAAAAAAAAAAAAGATAAGTCAAATCCAATATTTTAACAAATCCATTACATGTCAAAAGACATTTTGAATGTTCTCACCCTCCAAGCTTGTTAACCAGAGCTCCGACACTGAGAGACCCGATCATGCCCCCGAAATTAAAGATGGCAACAGCAACGCTCCACAATGTTGTGACTGTGTAATCATCCATCGGCTCTCCAGTGCGCACCAGAGTCACGTTCCTGAAGAAGTTCTGCACTTTCTGATCAGCAATACAGTGACACAGAGATAAGTGATTGTGTTTGTTTTTAATTTATTAAAATGCTACTCACTTAATAAGATATTTACCACATCAGGAGCGTTGATGACACCAATGTTGTAGCCAAATTGCAGGGAGCCAATGACGGCTGTGGACACGCAGAACATGAGGCACAATGTCACCTTCTTCCCCTAAACAAAAAGAAGTAATACTACTATGAAAGGCAGTAAAAATATAAGAGTAGACAATGCATGTTTACTGCCTCCCAGTTGTGTCCAGAATTAAATGATCTTGCTGCTGTCTGGACTAATGGAATAAACCCTCCATATGGCTCAATTGGTGACATCTTATTATATCTTTAAATAATAAAAGAAATAAAAATCATGCTCTCTTTTCTTCTCTGGCAAATGGATTTACCAACTTCCTTTTAAACATCTCACATCATTCAGGATGTAGACAAACCACTTCCGCTAGCACTTGCACACAAGCTTTCACAATAAACCAAAGCACATGTTTTGGCAACAAAATGACTGAAAACACCTATTCGAAAAGACCAACTAAACTAAATGGACAAGGGAAGGCGATTTTTACCTTTAACTCAGTCTCATTCCTTCAATATTCTCTTTTATTAGATTGTTTGGCATTTTTGACATTAATGGTATTCACACAAGTACACTGGGGTAAACACACATTCCTAATATTTATTGCTGAGAAAGACTCTAACCTTGGAGCCTAGAAGGTGAACGGCACTCTCGCTGAACATACTGGATTAAGCTTGACCTGACTGTGTTTAGAGTTTTGGATTTTGTTTAAGGTTGGGGTGTGGTTAGATCCCCCAGTTCCACCTATTATATGATGTCAAAATACACAAGACTATTTGTTTTTGGAGGGATACATCTTCACCACACTGCGTCCTTCCAATTAAAATGCACTCACACCTGCCTATTAGTCTCTTGTAGTCTTGAACACCTTGATTAGTTGTATCAGCTGTGTTTGATTAGGATTGCAGCAACACCGTGCAGAGCTGCAGACCTCCAGGAATCGAATTTGAGACTTAAGCTGCGGTCACACTGGGCTTTTATTCCCATATACTCCTATTCATACGCACGCGAATGCATCAGACCTGAAACGCGGGGTCATGCGTCAAGTTTCCCTGCTGAAAAATCCAGCTTAAACCAACCTATGATGGTTGGCTGGTTTTAGCTGGTCGACCAGCCTGGTTTTAGAGGGGTTTTAGCCACTTCCAGGCTGGTTTCCAGCAATTTCCAGCCTGGTTTTTGCTGGACAGGCTGGGAGATGATCAGCTAAAACCAGCTTGACCAGCCTAGCCAGGCTGGGAGCCCAGCCAAAACCAGCTATGTCCAGCTTAAACCAGGATGGTCAAGATGGTTTTAGATGGTTTTAGCTGGTCGCTTTCCAGCCTGACCAGCTAAGACCAGGCTGGAAATGACTGGAAACCAGCCTGGAAGTAGCCAAAACCCCTATAAAACCAGGCTGGTTGACCAGCTAAAGCCAGCCAGCCATCCTAGGCTGGTTTAAGCTGGATTTTTCAGCAGAGTTCGCAGGGTTGACCTGCGAAATCGCATCACTTGACTGCGTGGGACCAATCGAGGATCAAAACATGACATCTCTGGACAGAAATATTAAAACCTCGAGAAATCGCTTGCTTTTTTAAATGTCTAATCATCTTGTTTAATCCAGCCCCTTTTCGCAATGCCACACAACAGAATTTCGCACACACAAACTCTAGTGTGACCGTAGCTTTATGTTTCTTCTGTTACACACAAAATTAGATTATTATAAAGCAGGGGTCACCAACCCTGTTCCTAAAGAGCTACCTTGCGGCAGATTTCAGTTGCAGCCCTGACCAAACACACCTGTGTGTAATTATCAATTGCTCCTTTAGGTCCTAATTAATTGCTTCAGGTGTGCTTGATAAGGATTGGAGCTGGGGAAAAAGTAGCCATCCATAGTAGAAACAAAAAATACTATGGAAGTCAATGACTGTAACTGACTCCACACAACTTCTTTTGTGTTCAACAGAAAAAAAAACAGAAACTCAAATAGGTTTGGAACAAATGGAGAATGAGTAAATGATGACAGGATTTAACTTTTTTTCCTAACTGTCCATTTAAAGCTAAAACACTCAGCACACCCTGGTGTACATCTCAACTTAACAGTTCAGTCAGAATTGATTTGAACTCTTAAAGACATGAATAATTCATTTTTAAATGGCACATAAATCCTGATTTCACAATACAGTAATATCCCAGAGTTATATACGAAAGTGGAACAGCTGAAATTTAATAAAGTAATATTTTTTTTTCTCCCTAAAATTATGTTCTGAAACTGTCTGTCAACTGAGACCTTGATGCCTGCTTCTCTCTTTCTCTCTCATTTAAAATAATGACCTGAAGTGACTGTCAGCTGCATATATTCTGTAGAGGAACATACTGTAACATAACCAGATCAGAGTTAAAATCCCTCAGACTTCCAAGTACATAATAGACAGAATAGACTGTCAGGTATCCAGAAAATCACACTTTCAGGTCAGATAAATAACTTAATCAAATAATTAATCTGCTGCTTTATTCCAACAATTACCATTGGTTTGAAGCTTCAGTAAATATTTCATTTTACATATGAGCTACATTTTGACCATTGGTCATATGTGGAATGGTTGTGAATATTAATTATTAATAAATAATTAACATTAATATTAATTATTACACAAACATGTGATGTACTCTGAAATAAACAAGTGCAAAACAATCATACTTCATATTAACCTACAGTCTTTTGGCTTTATTGCTCTCCCTGCTTCTTCCTTTTTCAAAATAAGAGTCCCACATAATAAATTTAATATAAGCATAGATAAACTAAGAAATAATAGCCTGTGCTTCGGCTGTTGAACTCATGCAGGTCTTGCGTGTGCTCATGCAGGTCTGGCTGACGTAAAACATGACCTAAAGTACATGCAAATGTTGAGGGTGTGCTAATTAATAGTACCATATGCATTGTAACGATTTGTGTTTTGTTCTGATAAGACTATTTTCCACCAGCTTTTTACAGGCTCATGGTTATAACATTTCCATGTAATGAACTCTTACTTTTTGTACTAAATATATTAATATATGGCACCTTTAATAGATTTGAATGGCTTTTTGTAACTAAGCCATTTCAATTAAGTGATTTTATGTAAAAGCATATTAAATCTGAATAAAGTGTCTAAATGTTTCAAATGAGAAAATCAAATGTCAAAATAAGGGTAAAATAATGTTTTGGTGTATCAGAAATGTTTATGAACAAAAAAAAAACTATTTTGATCAGTTTGTAATAAAATATATAAACTAAAATGTGTTTTTACTGAATTTCAGTATATTTTAAATTATTAAAACCTTGTTAACAAATATGTAAAACCCACTGGTTGGCATGATCGTGACAAAGTACTGTATGAGGATTTTTAATTACAATTAATTTATGTTAATTGTACAATTCATGTTTAAAACAAATTAGTTTTGGACACTTGAAGAGATTATTTGTTTATTTTGTGATGAGAGTGTTTTGTTTGTTTATGTTTTATGTCTTTATGTTTATTTGATGTTATCACTATATCTTTTGTGTGGCACTGTTATGAAATGAGGACTCTTGAATCCAAAACAAATCCAATCCAAACCTAACCTAACCTAACCTAACCTAACCTAACCTAACCTAACCTAACCTAACCTAACCTAAACTGACGTTTTAATCATACACAACATAACTTTAATAGACAATTTAGAATGACATTTTAGTGGGTGTCTGCGTATTGTGTTAATCAAAGTAAAAATGTACAATAATCATAGATTTTTTCCTCAGAAAATAATAAATACAATAAACTTGACTCATTCTATACAAGCAAATTAAATACAAATTAAATTGTTGCTGTGAATTATTGTTTGTTTGTTTTTTTATTAACTTTGACCCCATTGTATAATAAAATGCAACTCAAATTTTTTTCTAAACTCTTTGCAGACCAAAGCGTTCTACTATTAAAACAAAAAGGAAACAGACACTGTGCGTATTAACCTGAGCATGTACATTTGTGCAATCTAATCTGATGTTATGATAAAGACTCAAACACATCCAAACATGCACAAACATACAGGTAAACAGAGCCTGAATCCTGGAGGACTTGCAGTGAACACGGATATGAATGTCAACAAGCGATCTTTAAAGAGACAGAGCCATATTTATGTATCATTACCAGTCTTACATGGTCTCATATTTGGGTTTTCCTTTCTATCAGTCCATTCTAAAACAAGTACAAACCAGCTGAGATTCTGTTCATACTATATTCAAGTTTAAACATGCCATCTGAACCCTTGGCTTAAACATTCATTCCTGCACATCTTAGTTTCTTACACAACATGGAATCCTTGTATTTCTCAATTTCGGATTGTTTGTAGGATTCACCAAAACAAGGGAACGATATTTTTATATACTTCCAAATCCGATTCTCTTGCTTGTTCTCTCACTCACTAGTTAGTCACCTAACATGGGTTTGTAGAGGTCAAAACAGATGCATACCAGATGGAAAGGGTAAAGTGTCTAGACAAGACCACATCTTACTGAATCACTGAAAATGCATTAGGGTTGTAAGATTCTGGGAAGATATGTGATATGTGATGTTCTTAAAGGGATAGTTTCCCCAAAATTAAAATTTTGTCAACATTTATAAATTTCTTTCTTCTGTTCTTCTGAACAAATAAGAAGATATTTTGAAAAGCATTGGAAACCCATAACCATTGACCTCCATAGTATTTATTTTTCCAACTTTAGATGACAATAATTGCATGTTTTCAGATTTCTTAAATATAAAAAGGTTTAAAACCACCTGAGGGCAAGTAAATAGTGAGTACATTTCATTTTGGGTGAACTATACCTTTAAATAATATGATAACATTTTTACACTTGCTTAACATTTCCCCAGAGAAATCCTATACACTGCAAGTCTTATACAGAATTTTGTCTTTCAAAGTTTCTCAAAATAAATATCTTAAATCAAGAAGCATTTTCTAGAACTGAAAAATATTGTTTTGAAAAAATAATAAGTTAAAATTAAGTGAGTTTATTTTCCTTACAACAACTAAAGTAACATGCGGCTGGAAGGGCTTCTGCTGCGTAAAAACGTGCTGGATAAGTTGGCGGTTCATTCCGCTGTGGCGACCCCAGATTAATAAAGGGACTAAGCCGAAAAGAAAATGAATGAATGAATGAATAAGGGCTTAGAAAAAAAAACTTATTAAAAAATCAAATCTAGATTATTTTACATTAAACATGCTTTTTGGTAGTAAAACCATGGTTATTATTTAATAGGGGGTGGAATAAATAAACATTAATCAAAGTTACGGATAATACAAGTACATTTAATCTATAATAAAAAAAAACATATTACAACAATTTCAAATCAACCTCAATTACCCATCTGCTGAGCATTTACAGTTCTTGCCCTATTTACAGATAATTCAATTTAATTTATCTTTATTTGTATAGCGCTTTTACAATGTGCATTGTGTCAAAGCAGCTTCATAGTGAATTAAAACAGTGTCAGTTCAGTTTTCAGAGTTTAAATTCAGTTCAGATAATTAATGCCAACTTAACCACATGCACTTATATAAAAAAAAAAAGATTTTTGCTGGTTTTTCAACCTATTTATTTAAAATAAGATGAATCAATGTAATTATTGAGCCTTTTTTGGAACAACTTAACTGGGTAACTTTCCATCAGCATGCTGAAGTTTATGCTAAATGCCAAGTAAAGAGCCTTGACAAGTAGGTTTAACCCATACTCGAAAATGGTCCACTGCTTTTAACCCATTCACACACACAAACAGTTGATTCACTGCCCACCTTCAATTTCTACCGGGACCAGGAATTGAACCTGCAACCTTTTAATTATAAGTCCAACTCCATAACCATTAGGTCATATTTACACAGCACTATATTGAATTGTCATAAAATTAGCAGATTATATACACTACCGGTCAAAAATTTGGGATCAGTTTTTTTTTTAAATGATTAATTTTATTTTGATAATGAAATTATTACTCCAGTCATTATTTATTTTATTGCTATGGCCATTAATAATAATAATAATAATAACAATAATAGTAATAATAACAATAGTAATAATTAATATTTCTATAATATTGTATATTATTTTCATACATTCATTTTCTTTTCGGTTTAGTCCCTTTATTAATCTGGGGTCGCCACAGCGGAATGAACTGCCAACTTATCCAGCATATGTTGAAAGCAATGGATGCCCTTCCAGCTGCAACCCATCACTGGGAAACATCCAAACACACTCATACACTACAGTCAATTTTAGCATACCAAATCCACCTGTACTGCATGTCTTTGGACTTGTGGAGGAAACCAGAGCACCCAGAGAAAACCCACACGAACATGGGGAGAACATGCAAACTCCTTACAGAAATACCAACTGACCAACCCGTGGCTCGAGCCAGTGACCTTGCTGTGAGGCGAACGTGCTACCCACTGTGCCACTGCATCGCCTATAATATTTTATACATTATAATAATACTTTCTGAAGGATCATGTGACTGAAGATTGGAGTAATGAAGCTGAAAAATCCTCTTTAAATCACTGGAATAAATTATTAAATTGTGTTTCATAATTACACCATTTATGATAAACAACATAATACTCAAGTGCTATTTCTGTTGAAGTTTTGTAGCCTTTTAGTACATTTATGCATCACTCACTGCATGACACTGGCAGAAGAGAAGAAAGACCCTACCTTACTGTCTTTCATCTTCTCCATCTTGCTCTGTTGCGAAAGTCAAGCTATTGGGAAGTCTTCTGTTCTTCCTCTTCTTACAGCAAAACCAAACTAATGTCTTGTGTTTTCCGATTAATCACAAATTCGTATTTTCAAAAGGGTCTAAAAGGAATAAACAGAATATAAAAAATAGTGTTAACATTGCAACAGATTGAGAGAATCCGTCTTCATCAGGAAGCACCATAATAGTTAATTTCATAAGGGCGGATGTCTGCTGAGGTAAGATGACAGTTTAGCAGCAGAATATTGTGCAAAGTGAATTGCGAAGTTTAAATGTGGAAGTCAAACACAAGTGCATCTCCATCAGCTCAGGACCGGCCTCGCTCTATATCACCAGCAGTGGTTTCATGGTTAAAATGAACAACCATCAGGATTTCCTGTAACTTCCATCTTAAAATAAACCACACTGACAACCAGTAAATACAATAAACTAAATGCTTTAGTTCTGTAGCAGCACTTATATTTTTACTTGATTCAATGCATTTGGAACATTGACTATTTTGGTGTTAGAGCTGCATTTATGTTTAATTGTTCATACACTATCAACTTTCATTTAAAATACTTTTGCAAAAACATTTAACTTTTCTTAAAGGGATAGTTCAGCCAAAAAATGATTTACCCACTTTTTACTCACTTTTAAGAAGTTTCAAACCTTTATGAGACTCTTTCTTCTGTTAAACATACAAAAAAAATATTAGCTTTCAAAGGGAAAAATATATAATATGGAAGTCTACATGTTTACAAAAATCTTCTTCTGCGTTTAACAGGAGAAATAAAATCATAAATGTTTGAAAGTTACGAGTGAGCAGCCTAAATGATGACAGATTTTTGTTTTGTGAACTATATCCCTTTAATTTGTCAAAACGCTGTCATTTCACTGACAAGTTTCTGTTTTCTTCAGTAATAGATAAACTGCTATGGCAAGCCGTTTTAACTTTTATTCCTTCTCAGGATATGTATTCTTCATATCAACAATTAAATTTTTGATATCAACAATTAATATTCTTGATATCAACAATTCAGTTCTTGATATCAACAATTCAATTTTTGATATCAACAAATATGAATTAATTGAAATGAAATGAATTTTCACTAGTTAAAAGTCACCATAGGCTGCCATTCAAATTTAATTGTTGATATCAAGAATTGAGTTTTTACTAGTAAAAATGAACTTCTTGATATCAATAATTTAATTGTTGATTTGAAAAATATAATTGTTGATATCAATAATTTAATTGTTGATATCAAGAATTACATTGTTGATATCCATAAATAATTTTCAACTAGTAAAGATGCTCATTTTTGATATCAACAATTCTTTTTTCACTAGTGAAAATGTTAATTTCTGATATCATGAATGTAATTGTTACTAGTGAAATTAGTAATTTTAGATATCAAAAATGTAATTCTTGATATCAACAATTCAGTTTTTGATATCAACAATTACATTTTTGATATCAAAAATTAACTTTTTGATATCAAAAACTGAATTGTTGATATCAAAAATTGAATTGTTGATATGAAGAATACATATCCTGAGAAGGAATAAAAGTCAAAACGGCTTGCCATAGAACTGCATGCTTTTAAATAAACATTCTAAGCAACAAATAAAGCAGCCATTGTATTTATCTAAGATCTCTCAAATTACAACATTTTATTAAAATAACCAGTCAAAAGAATAAAAGAACAATCTTTACTTGTATGTTTGCAGAGCTCGTGCGTGGTTCAGGTAGTCGCGGGTGTGTTATGAAACATGCCGGCGCTCGTGGGTTTTATTTAGATTGATGCATGACTTCAAGCACGTTGCGCTTTTTGTCGTCACGCAGATGCTCCCCCTTCTCTGTAATAATCGAGTCATCGGATTAAACGGAAGTTCATTTCGAGACGCTCGCATCATTTCACTGGAAATTAAGACCACCTCTCTAAACTAGCGAGCGCACTACAAACACCTGAACATCACTTAACAAACAATGAGTGCTGGTCTCACATGTTAATATTCGAACACGTCTGTGGTACCTGACAGAAAACCTTCACAAGGCATTCAGCTTTTGGTAAGGTTTTGAGACACATCCTCTGCTTTTTTGTCCTTATTTGGTAACTCGCGCGTTATTCGTCACTCAGACTTGACGTGAATAGCGCTTCTGTTCCGCTCGCGCAGCTTCCCACCGGCTTCATCCCTGCCAAAAGTTACTGTCTGTCACAATGAAACAGTTCTCCTCATCATGTGAGCGTGTCTGTGAAAGAATGACGCCTTTTTGTTTGTAAACAAGCGCTCCTCTCTTTCGAGAATGGACAATTTGCGGGGTTTGCTGGCACTTCATTCAAAGTGTGTGATCTTGTGATAACAAATGTTTCGTTGCCTACACACTTATAGCTTTTGCTTGTTCTTTGAAAACTGGTTTGAGAGTATTAACAATTAATAGAAATTATTTCCTGTGGTGTATTTGACAGCCAGATACATGCCTCACAATAAGAAAGGTAGTGTTCAATTAATTCTGCAATATGGCAAAATATTTTTTTTCAATTGAACAAATGCATTTGAATGTTTTTGTGTGTAGGCTATTGTTTGATACTTGTAGAAAAATAAAAGTTAATGTTTTACAACATTTGAAACGTGTGGTTTTTAAGGATTTAACACACTTAAGAACATAGTAAAATCATGTTAGCATTACTTTAAAGCACAAGTTTCACTTAATACTAGTAACTTAAAATATTGTGTGGATTATTAGAATAAATAAGTAAATTTTACTTAAAAGGAGTTTGACAAACTTAAAACTACAAGTTGAAAATTGATCAAATTGAGTTGATGTTAATTGAAAGTGTAACTTGAGAACAGGCAAAGTCTAATAGGACAAACTAAAATTAAATGAGGTGACATGATGGCTCGGTGGTTAGCACTGTCCCCTCAAAGCAAGAAGGTCGCTGGTTCAAGTCTCAGTGGGTCAGTGGGCATTTCTGTGTGGAGTTTGCATGTTCTCCCTGTGTTCACGTAGGTTTCCTACGGGTACTTCAGTTTCCCCCACAGTTCGAAGACATGCACTAGGTGAATTGAATAAAGTAAACAGTGAATGTGTGTGCATTGGGGGTATGGGGGTTTATTTCCCAGTACTGGGTTACAGCTGGATGGGCATCTGCTGTGTAAAGCATATGCTACTGTAAATTAGTTGCCAAGACTAAGAGACTAAGCTGAAGAAAAATTTATGAATGACAATAAATTGAGTTTGAAATACTCTCTTTTGTTTCAGACATTTATCTGAAACAGAGCAGGTAGGGCTCTGTTGGCGCTGTCTTTGTCTTTTGCAGGTTGAAGTGGAGCAGAAGGAGACTCACAACGGGAACGGTGGAGATATACTTAAAAACCTGGAGCTCAGCAAAACGGTGGAACTGCTTGAACAGCCTGAACAGTTTCCAAAGAAATGTATTACGATTAATTAAAGACTTGATGGCTTTCTCTTTGACAGATTGGCACAGAGCATGTGGAGAAACAGGGAAACACACTTTAGTAATGACAAGTATACATCATAATTTAAAATTATATATTTTCATTTTTACAGACTACGTTGGGTATTTCCTATACAGACAGACAGACAGATATATAGAAGGATGGATGGATGGATAGATGAATAGATAGATAGATAGATAGATAGATAGATAGATAGATAGATAGATAGATAGATAGATAGATAGATAGATAGATACATACATACATACATACATACATACATACATACATACATACATACATACATACATACATACATACATAGATAGATAGATAGATAGATAGATAGATAGATAGATAGATAGATAGATAGATAGATAGATAGATAGATAGATAGATAGATAGATAGATAGATAGATAGATAGATAGATGGAAAGATAGATGGATGGACGGACGGACGGACGGACGGACGGACGGACGGACAGACAGACAGACAGACAGACAGACAGACAGACAGACAGACAGACAGATAGACAGATAGATAGATAGATAGATAGATAGATAGATAGATAGATAGATAGATAGATAGATAGATAGATAGATAGATAGATAGACAGATGATAGATGGATGGACAGACTGACAGACGGATAGAGAGATAGACATATAGACAGACAGACAGACAGACAGACAGACAGACAGACAGACAGACAGACAGACAGACAGACAGACAGACAGACAGACAGACAGACAGACAGACAGACAGACAGACAGACAGACAGATAGATAGATAGATAGATAGATAGATAGATAGATAGATAGATAGATAGATAGATAGATAGATAGATAGACAGATGATAGATGGATGGACAGACTGACAGACGGATAGAGAGATAGATATATAGACAGACAGACAGACAGACAGACAGACAGACAGAGACAGACAGACAGACAGACAGACAGACAGACAGACAGATAGATAGATAGATAGATAGATAGATAGATAGATAGATAGATAGATAGATAGATAGATAGATAGATAGATAGATAGACAGATGATAGATGGATGGACAGACTGACAGACGGATAGAGAGATAGACATATAGACAGACAGACAGACAGACAGACAGACAGACAGACAGACAGACAGACAGACAGACAGACAGACAGACAGACAGACAGACAGACAGATAGATAGATAGATAGATAGATAGATAGATAGATAGATAGATAGATAGATAGATAGATAGACAGATGATAGATGGATGGACAGACTGACAGACGGATAGAGAGATAGATATATAGACAGACAGACAGACAGACAGACAGACAGAGACAGACAGACAGACAGACAGACAGACAGACAGATAGATAGATAGATAGATAGATAGATAGATAGATAGATAGATAGATAGATAGATAGATAGATAGATAGATAGATAGATAGATAGATAGATAGATAGATAGATAGATAGATATTGAACAAGCCGGTAGAGTTCTAGTGATGTTGTCTTTGTCTTTTACAGAGTGGAGACAGGGAAATTACACATCTCAGGAATGATAAGAAACTTATGGTCAGGTTTCACCTATTGATGACAGATGTGGGGGTGGTGGTGGGCTTAAATAGATGTTTTGTCTGTGCTAGGTGCTCATTTTTTAGGTATTGGACACACTTCAGGCAGAAGAAGGAAACTCACAAGAGCATTGGTGGAGATTCATCTGAAGAACACTGGAGAACAGGTTATGCATTACTGTATCTCAGCCAGCAAGTAGCTCAAACAAATAGGCTAATTAATGATAATAAAGCAAAAGTATTACAAAACTTAAAACCTAATTTATTAAAACTGACGCGATTCTCCTCATTTCTAATTTCCGGTGATGCGACTGTAGGTTGGAGGGCAGATTAAAATCCTGAATGGCATCAAACATGTTTGATATGATCCAAGAGGCTTATGTTTCCCATCACAATCTGAGCACTTGCAATCAATATACTTCACCTGCAGCTGTTTTTCAGTAATTTATATCCCTCATGTCCATGTCAGAGCTACAACTCACCAATGTTTTGTCCGTCTTTTGGAGATTTAGTCATTGGAGATTAAATATCAGTGGGTTAGTGTCTGCTTTTATATTTGGTGTCTGATTAATATTTGCTGGTAGGGAAAATCTATTTGTTCACTTCTTCTAATTATACTTGGATTTGCATTTCTATTTATTTGTTTTTCCACTTAACTGCAAATTAGAATAGAAACTGTATAAAAAGCACACAAACACACAGACAGTTTTACTGTACATCGTTATGGGTCAATGATGCTAATATTTGGCACAATTTCCTCTTTCTGGTCTTTACTTTCAATGAATGAATGATGTAGAATGTGTCCATGCATGGTTCCTCCTCGGTTAGTAACGCTATATTTCATTGCCCAACAATTAATCTATCAGGCTTTTTGGCTAAAATATAGAAATCACGGTTTAATTTGTTATTATTAGATTGTTTTTAAATTTCACCTCTCCTGCTGTGCATAAGCTGTTGAATGGTCAGCGTATAAGGCGGTTAGGCTGACCTAGCTTCAATTTTGATTAAATTAATTTCTTATCTGTTGCGTATTAAGTCGTGAATATACTCCTGTAATGCATTCTGCAGTCCCTTTTTGTCTGGCTTTCTCGGATATCTCACCTGTTCACCAAAAATAAAAAAATAAAAAATAAAATGTATAATATGGCACATACATATTATAATAGACGTGCCAGGCACTAAAGCTTGACAGGCGTAGCAACAGTAACTAAGGGAAGCGGGCGTATCGAACGGTCAATTACAACTGACATTTTCTGAAAACAAAACAAATAAAATAAATTGCAAAGTTTTTATTAGAAATCTGGAAGAAATCCCATCAGAACTTTATAGAATAAAGCAAATATTACACAAATACCTAATAAATCCAGAGAAAGTGGTTTTATACACATTTATAGGAGTTTCTGGAATTTGATTGGCTGAAAACTGTGACGTCAGACTAGAGCTGCGTCCCAAATCGCATACTTATGCACTATTCTACGCCATTTTGTAGTATAAATAGTTTAAGTAGTGCGTTCACACTGAAAACTCTAAAAATAATAAGTGCACTTTAATTACCCGGATGATGCACTCATTCAGCCGCTAAAATGAAGTGTGTAATGATGGACACTTCACGCACTCAACGACCGCAGGTTTGCTTACGTAGCGGAAGGGGCGGAGCTATCAGACGCACATGTTGAATAACTTTATTTATTTTGGATGGTGAAAGCAAAATTCTCCTACGAGAGTGATTATAGCGCCTTCCGATGGTGAATGCGGCAATACTCACGGCAGGTATTATCTGATAATTCGGTCGTTTATTTCACTGATTTCTCAACCGTCAAACGTCATCAGGGAAACGGTTTGAATTTCCGCTTAGTAAAAAAAACATTAGTGTGCCATTTGGGACGACACTACATACATATACTACCCTGTTGAGTGTGTAAGTGCATAAGTACATAGTGCATGAGTGCATAGTGTATAGTGTGCCATTTGGGATGCAGCTGAGATGTCTGTGACTTACAAACAGGAACTTGCTGGAGGAAACACATTTACAAACTGATATGGTGTATAATAGCATCCTGTCACTGTTTTCTTTTTGTCAGTTTGAAAATTTAACTTTAAACCCTTAAAAAGAACATTTATCATACCAACAAGAAAAGCTCTTTCAACTTAGTTTGTCTATTCGAATGTTTAACTGTAAATTATAGTTCAAATAAAATTCATGTTTACAGTGCATAGGTGAAATTGCATGTGAGAATGTAGGTGTTATATATTAAATGAAAACATCTAAATAAATCAATTGTAACAGGATGTGGAGCAATATATAGCATGAAACAAGTCACGACAGATGAAACTTGAATATGTATGTGTGTAATTTATATACTGTATAAAAAGTGTGTTTACTTGCCTGCTAATTTTTAACCAACTACACTTTATATCACAATGCCAGTTTATTTTAATTTTTCTGAACTTTTACTTGGTTACCTTTCAGAAGCACAATTTAGGCACAAACAGTATAGTTCAACTGTGACCCAGGCCACTGCACTGGCAGTGTCAAGTTCACATCTTGATGCAACATTTCCTGTGCGTCTCTTAGCAAGAAACTTGACACCGTCGAACGTTTGACATCTTGCCCTCATGTTTTACATCAGACAATTAAAAAAGATTTCGAAAATAAGGAATTTCTAGGTGCTGTGAGCAATCAGTATGTCATCACTGGGATTGCTACATTTTATCTATTGTAGCAATGGTTGCTATCACGATGCAGGCTACTTTAGCGCCACCTGCTGTTGAAAAAACGGGAATAAACAGAGCTGGTTTAATAACACAAGTTACCAAACTGGCACAATAACACTATGCTTATGTAATCACTGACCTCTTATGTCTTCCTGCTTGTTTAAACCGAATTAGCCTTTACGCCAAGCCTTATTGACGTACTAAATGTAGTGTTTTTAAGACTATTGATATTAAGCATGTGGAATGAAGAAACTACCCAGGCAATATGCTACAACAGGAAACACATTAAGATCTAGACCCACGGAGGATTTGAGTTATATTCTCATTTAAACTTGGAGTAATAAGTTATTATTCGCCATCTAACCATCTAGATTGGGTTGAATTAATATAGATAACAGTTATTGATCACTGTTCTCATTCTCTGAGAGACTAATTGAATACAATGTGTTTTGGAAAACAAGCCTGATTACAATACTTGTGTTTGATTGTTTTAAGGGATATTGTCTGAAAGGTTTCCCCCAGTTTTTCCCCATATGTTTTGGACATCTCCAACATTCTGCTGCAGAAGGATCAGATGGTGAAAAAAAGTATTGAACATGATTTTTCCTGGAAATAGTAGAGAATTTAACCAGATTTTTAGGAAAAAAAAAACATAAAAATTTGAAAGATTAGTTACCTGCAAAAACAAATGGAATGAATGACATTAAGTGAAAGTACTGAACTACTGAAATGTATTTAATACTTTTTGGGGATGGCAGCTTAAACACGACTCTAAAATGGAGAATGAAGTCACAGGCATTGCTCAGTTGTTGTTGTTGTTGTTGTTGTTTTTTTTATCTTGATGGTTCTGAGGGTCTCGTCTATCATACCTGGGGGCTGTTTCAGAAAGGAGGTTAAGTGAAAACCCTGAAATGAGAGAAACTCTGGGTTTTCCGTTTCAAAATAAAGCAGGGTAAGTCAAACCTGTTCTGAAAGAGAGGTAACTTTAACTCAGAGTCAGTTACTGTGGTAACTTACTTTGTGAATCTAACCTGGTCAGGAGCAGGTTTTATTCTCTAAACTCGAAGTTTCTGTCGGTCTCCTCCCCTTTTTAAAAGATGAAGCGGTATTTCTCGCATTAGCCTTACTTTTCCTCACACCTATTTTATAGCTCATTTTGGAGATGTGCATAAAAACGATTGATGGAAACGTCATGATGCACATAACCTTTGAAAATATGCATAAAAACATGTGCATAACTGAGTAGGATAAACTTCTATTTGATAAGAAAAGATGCGCATAAACTACGAAGGAAACACCTAACAATATGTGCATTAAAAAAAGGTTTGTTAAGAGATCATATGATGATGAAAATGTGTCTGAATGGACAAACCAGCAGGACACCTAAAATGTTGTTTTTTTTCATTCTAAAATTCCATTTCAGTATTAGTGTATATTATTAAATAATTTCGTCAGAGCGTCTGGAGCGTGTCAAGAGTTTCCGCGTCTCATGGCTTCAAACGCCCCCACGTGTTCATTGTCTATCAACATATTCATCTGAGGCGCAAGTGCATTAAATGAAAAAATAAAATAATTGACGCCGCCTCTTCTACCGCAGTAAATTCTGCTTTTACTGTTGATATTTGACGCATTTATGTAATATATTTGGATGGAAAATAGATATTGTCTACATTTTAGTCACACACAGAACAAAGTCACGTACAAGAATGGCTTGTCCTTTTTTCATAAATAATTAGCTCAAAAAAAAACTTTTTTAGCTCAAATTCACTGTCCTTTGACATGTACTGTAACTAGATTAATGGGATTATTATTCGTTCTAAAAATTTTAGTACTGCTTACCTTCTAAATGTTATATCAACCTCTATCACTTAATCGATAAAAAAGGCAGACACACAAGTGCACTTTTAAGTTTATTAAAACTGATAAACGTGTATAAAAGTTTAGAAAAGTGTTCATCACACATAAGATTACTCATTTTATTATACTTTAATATTTAAATACTTTAAACATAAAATTAGGCATTAACTTGAGCAGCTGTTTTCCCAGGCTAACTGTCTCTGTTTTACTGATAATTGCTTCTTTTTAAATATGCTCATATTTGCTATAACTTTGCATGAGCAGACCAAGTTCAACTGGAGAAAGAAATGCTGATCGCATTTTTAAGATGTTGCCATGGTCACTCTTAATATCTGTGTTCCCTTGATAATGCCTTCTTATAGACACAGTGTGCGCGCTTAACTCTGAGTTGGACTACTCAAAATTTATTGACCCAACTCAGATCAGCTATTCTGAAACTGAACAGTTTTTAATCTCTCTGTAAATCAACTCAGAGTTTAAGTTTAAGCTCTTGAGTTGTTTGAACCAACTTACTAAAACAGGCCCCGGATCTTTATTTTCTATTTTTTTATCATAGGATTGAAGTCTGGTGACTTTCTAGGCCATTCCACAGAATGATTCTCTTTCCTTGGCTGTGTTTTGGATCGTTGTCTTGTTAAAATGTCCACCCTGGTGTTATCTTCATCATACTGCTAATGTAGATGTTGAACTTAAAAAGCTAATATTCATTTACAATGATGAAGGGCAGAGGGTTGCTGAAGAACTACTGAGAGGTTTTGGCTGCTGTCTGGACTTTCACTGCCTTTTCACATCTCCTTTTCTTCATGTGTTTAAAAAATACACTTTCCTTAAATCATTTCATTACACATAGCTTTACTTGTAAACCAATTAGTTTTGCTTTCTTTGCACATATGGAGTTCTTTAGTTGTTGCCAACATCTGGTGAAAATTTGAAGTGAACAGCACCTTCAGAAATATGTTTTCTGAGAAAACTGCTTGTGTTCAATACTTATTTTTCCCACTGTGTATTGAAAAATATGCTTTGAATTTTACTTTAAGGCCTGGAATAGTATTTTTTCCTCAACCAACCAGAATCTTTCCACCAAAAGGCTAATGTAGTAGTCAGTGACCTTCTGCAAGAGTATAACTGCTGTTGACTTGAGATTGTACACCAAGCAGCCTATGAATTTTTGCAAGTGTTGAAGCTTACTTCAGACTATTCTCTAGTCAGAAACTACTTTCTACAGTACATTTATGTTATTAAAAGTCTTTCTTCAGCCTACACTGTTCTCGTGTTTACCTGTAAATTCTGCTACACAAAAATAAACAAACATCAGTTGAAATTGTGCGCTTTTTTATTTTGTAAATTGCATAAGCAAGATGTAGAGTGACAGCTTAATGCTAACGTAGGACCTCAAACTGCTGTTGGTAAAAAGGTCATAACATTTCAATCTGAATGACCTTTCATCCTTCAGCAGGGCAAACCGATACTCAAGACATCAAAACAGAGTAATATATTATGAGGTACTCTACAAATAGTTGGGAGTTCATAAAATTCAAAAGTAACAGCGACCATTTAGATCTTTCCAGGGAAGCTTCCATCCTCGATCTGTGAATCCCATTTCCCCACCTGATGGAATGAAAAGACAAACATCAATTTTAAGTAAAGCTTTCAGTGGCTGGTCTTTTGTTTTATCAAAGTGAGAGGGCAAACACCACCAACAACAAATTGATTAAGGCCCTCTTTACACTAGTGAGTTTTAGTTTGAAAACGCCTAAGTTTTGCTACTGTTACGCCATCTGTCCACACTACGCCAGAGTTTTTGAGCGCCGAAAACGGAGCGTTTTGGAAACGCTGGAGAGGCTGTTTTTATTCTAAAACGCTGCTGCTTCCTCTCAGTGTGGATGAAGGAAAATGGAGACATCTGAAAATGGAGGCGTGTCTGCTGAGATTCGCTACCTGATTGGGGCTTTTGTGTCATTGCGTATCCTTCTCTTATTCGTCAAGCCCCTATCACATGACTGTAACACATGGCTTTATCGCTACTGGAAGACAGCGGCCCACCCTTCACTGTAAACAACAACATGGATACAAAAATGGGAGCATTGTTTGCACTACTGTGTGTTTTAGGCGCCATTGTGCAGTTATTCATTTGTTACATTTAGTAACAACTCGACCTCGACATCTGTCCACAAACATACCTCTCTTGCTTCCTTTGCCATCTTGTTCATTGTTCAACCGGCGTTTGTTGACTAACAATAACAAAATGCCGAGCGTGACACATGCTTTCTGTTTATACTAGAATGCACATGCCCAGAGTGCGCGAATGGTCACGTAATATACGTTTTTGGTGGCGTAGTGTGGACGGAGATATGTTCAGAAACGCAAGGTGAAACACTAGTGTGGATGCGGATGGTTTTTGATCTAAAACGCACTTGTGTAAACGGGGCCTAAGAATGCATTTCATTTGACTGAAAATTTACTTCAGTCATTCACAAAATCAAAATCAGCTTCTTTATTCGGACTATGAGGGTTATGTGCACATTTATTAACAGATCTTAAAAGGAGACCCATGTTGGCTGTGGAAACAATGAAATGTTTACAGTCATACTTTAGAAAGGCGATACTAGTGATAAACTTATGTCAGGGAAGATATTGGGTGTGTGACAAGAATGAAGAACAAAGAACTTTGTGCCAGTATGAGATTGAACTCTTGACCATACTCAAATCTTTCTCAGCATTTGGTGACTAATAAAATCTGGACACCATGCATCCAACGTTGACAGTAAATAATCAAAATAAATGAACCAAGAACAGTTTTTAGGAGCAATGATATTAACCAGCACTGCTAACAAATGACAAGAATCTGGTCATTTTTACATCATTCCCATATACAATGAATACCTCATGCTCAACGAGGATTTACAATGAAAGCAAAAAGAATCCATAAATAAGGGTGTTATTTTCTCATGTTAATGCATTAAAGTGGACTATGGCATAAATGGCAATGTTTACAAATTAACTAGTTCAGAGAGATTTCCTGACACTGCCTTTATTCTCAAAATTGTTTAAATCAAATATTTAATAATAAATTGTATTTGTAATAAGCCAGAATATATTTGAGTGAAGATCTGCTGAACAAAGTTTGGATGAAGATGCAAATAATCATAAGCAAATACCCTGAATTTGTATTTTTTTTAGCGATTCTCTGCTTTGTGTTGTGCTGGGATGCAACGATCCCTATACTTAAATCGGACATTCGTTCAACAACGCATATTTTTGCTGGATCGGGAATCGGCCAGCTGGTACCGATCCAAATCTGATCTTGCACGTGTGATAAATTGTGTAATTAATAAGACAAATGCCATGAAGGTAGCCTATTATAAGGGATTAGAAAGTTGTCATGTAGGCCTATTATATCCCAAATGTTCTGAAGCCTTTCTGTAGTTTGATGTGAAGCACAGATGAATATTGAGTGCTTAAATTCACAAAACAAACAGGGACAAATTTATGACAATTCGAAAACTCTCCAAGACTATTAGTTCTTGTTAGTTTAAATATACAGTGGAGAAATGGAATTAGTTTTGCATTAAATGGGTCATTTTGAACTGCAGCAAGGAGTTAATTTCTGTTTCTATATCATGTTGAGATGCGTCTCAGCAGATCGCATTCGCAACACTAAAGAGGGTTATTGCCTGCTCTTCACACATAAAGTAGGCCTACCTTAAATTTTAAATGAGATAAGGCTCAATAATACATTGGACAGATAAGCCTGGTTTATACTTCTGCGTCAAGTGACCGTCGTAACCCACGGCGCATGCAAAGCCCATAGCTGTGCATTTATACTTCTGCGCGCTGTCTCTGTTGGTCTGCATTAACACTTCCGAAACGCTAGCTGGCAGCGAGGTGTAAATGTGTCTCTGTGTCAAGTTTCTTCGCTGGTATTTTGCTTTCCCTGAACACTTCCTGGATGTACAAGTGGCTCAAACTCGCTCATTTTGAGGCAGGAATCAGCGGACGTGCAACAACTTTAACTATGAGGTAAACACAAAACAAAACTTTCCATTCAGAGCTCCTTCACGGGACTCCACACTTGTAAACAATCGCTCGCGCCATTCGCGCGGCTCTCGCTCCCGCGCAGACTCGTCAGCGCTACCTAGCCGACCAATCACAGAGCTTGCGCTACATGTCGTAGCGATGTGTAGTTACAATTTATGAGAGGTGCACGTCAGTGACGCCGACGGCCATGGCGAAGGTCTATGCGTCAGCGCCGTAGCATATGCCAGCGTTTGACGCAGAAGTATAAATCAGCCTATACTCAACGCACTTTCCTTTGTGCAGCTAGGTTTTGAAAGTGTCTGCAAATACCGGAGGGCTGCGCGCTGTGTCTCTGTGATGCATCAATTGCTTCATTCATGCACCTACTAAGCAAACGCGATATGCGCTGCTCGATAAAATTATTCTCACAATGAGTTTGTTCTCTCATCCTTCCGACTGAGTTTATTCTTCCGAAAGGAATACTATCAGTGCTGCGAATAGTTTGTAAAGCCTGACTCATTGTGGTCAAAGTAGTAGATTAAATTAATAAAAGTGAAACTAACGGGAGCAATATGCATTGTCATTAACAGAAAAGGGAATGTTTATTAAATAAAATTGGCCTCAGACAGCATAGTTTAGTCTGCGTCACACCTGCAGGAAAATAACAGGCTTTGCTAAAATGCTGATAATTTTACCAGTGGTAGCCTATTACAGAATTTAAAAGAATCTTAATATTAAAAAAAGGAAACAAAGGCTGGACCACAACATATCAATGTCATAATGAATATTCAAATAATGTAGCCAAGTTTACAGCAAGCATCATGTTTTTAGTTATGCCATGTGTTATTTACAGTAGACCAATTTGTCGGTTATTTTTTACTAAAGATCTATTATTTGAGTTTATCACCAGAACTAAAAAAAAAAAAAGCACAGTATCAGGTTCAGATCTGTATTGGTCGATACTCCGAATTTTGGTATCAGATCTAAAAAAAATGGTATTGGTGCATCCCTAGTGTTGTGGCATTGTATATTTGAGATGGAGAGAAAAATCTAATCCTGGAAAGCGTCTATTTGGGTGAGCAAAGGAGAAAGGAATATCTTTTTACTAGTCATTTTGTTCAAATTAGAAAAGTTACAAAATTCAAATTGACAAACTATACATGGCTGAATTTTACATATACAAAGTAAAAACTAAAGGCTACAACTTTTTATTTCCAAGTTGATCATCATTTACTCAAACACAAAACTCTGAAAACTCCAGAACTCTTTACTAAACTGGAACTGATGACCATTTCCTCCCCCATTTTGATTTCTCAAGATAACATTAGACCTTTAGTTTTTCTGGACTTTCGGTGATTAAATTACAAGTAATAAGAAAGTTTGTCTAATTTTAAAAATAAAATTAACTATTTTCAAGTACACAATCCTTCACAGGCTACAACAACAACAAAAAATGTTAGGAAATGTGAATAATTAAATTTTTTCCACAAACATTGTTTTTCTTTGCAATTAATTTATTCATTCATTTACTGCCAAAAACATAACTATCTGTAATTTCTTGGTCATTCAATCAGATTTGTATATACACAAACAAAAACGGTACTTTCAAACAATAAACAATGGAAGGAAAGATCATTTACATGCATTACTATATTTGTAGAGATACATTCTCTATTTATTCAAACACAAGAAGAACATTCAAATTTGAAGAGAAGAGTTTGAAGTAGAAGAGACTCACCCAGCTAATTGGACACAGGCTCTTGTAGACTCTCTGATACCATTCACAGGGAGAGGTATCCTGCCCTTTGCTTGACAAAGCCTTATTACACCTGTGGAAGTCTGAGAGAAAGAAAAAGCATTATGCAAACACTGAAAGCTGACAGAAAATTATTTGACAAAAATCAAAATGATTAACTAGAGTATTTGTTCATCAGCAGGTTTGTAGGAAGAGTGGGGGACAAATCTGTTACTATGATATTATTATCTTGCTATGTAACAGATTTCTTTTTGACCTTCTGAAAATAGACAATGTAAAAATAGAAATAAATAACAGTGACAACAAATCAGTCTTGGATGTTTTCTGAGGTGTTTTGAGAGGATCAGTACTTTGACTGTGTGACCAGAGCCAAACATTTTGCGCTATGCCCTTGAGCACATGACTAACAGACATACACAAACAGAGATACATTTTAATCAACCCTGATTTGCTGCTGCGACCTTGAGAAAAAAAAAAAAAAACGAAAAAAAAACTTGGAGATAGTTTGCCCAAAACTGAAAGTTCTGTCACCATTTACAAAGCCTTAACTTGTTCCAAAAACGTTTGACTTTCTTCTATTGAACACAAAATATATTTTGAAGCAATCTGGAAATCTGTAACCATTGATCAAGTCAGAGGTTTCAGGTTTTAATCTTTCTTCAAAATATATTTTATTTTCTTTTAAAAGAAACAAAAAGGTTTGGAACTATTTGAGGGAAAGTAAATTTAAATTTTTGGGGTGAACTATCCTTTTAAGTCCAGGCTACTCCAAGTGCAATATGACTTCACTATATTATACTATTAATACTCTGAGCTGGTTAAGCCTGAAGTGATTTTGTACATGCCTGTGTGAAAATCAAACTGCTCGGATTCATTTAAAAAACACATCTGCAAAAAGCAACTCAGAAAGCATCAGTGTCGACACTAATGACACAATTTAATACTTAAATTCTGTATACTGAAGACCTTAATAAAGTGCTAAAAAATAAAGTTCCTTGTTATATTCCGTTTTCTATAATTATCGTTTGTTTTTGTATTTTCGCTTTGAATATCTAAGTTGTATAATTTATAAATGTGTATTTTCTTTCTTTTTTGTTGTTGTTGTGAGATAACAGGCGATCATGTGTTTCAGAAGTGTACAAAACAGAGCACCTTACTGTAATGAACACTCTGAAGCACTGGGTGCTCAAAACATTACTAACTTAGCGTCAGCCTTTTTAATTTAATACTAGGGGTGTCAAAATTAATTGTTTCTTTGGTGCACCGCGATGCAGACGCGGACAATTCGGTATCGGTTCAGTAATAATCATAACCGGTTATTATGTACTGACGTCATTTATCTCCTATGCGCTCTATCGCGAGGGAGGTGAGCGCAGCATTTACAACACTCAGCCAACTCAGGGCCGGCCCTTGGCATAGGCACCATAGGCAAATGTTAAGGGCGCTGTATATCTAGAAGGGCGCCAGAAATGAGTGCGGTTCAGTTGGTTTTGTTTTCGATATTCTTGACACACATTCAGTTACAGACGGCAATAACTCAAAAACCTCTTACCCTAAAAAGATCTAAAGTGTGTTTCCTGTGTTTTTATGTTTCACAGCTGTCTTTTTTTTTTTTTTTTTTCGCTCCACACTAAGAGCACTGCTCCGTTTAAGCCTTCGCAATATGTGTTTAGCCGGGATAGCTCGCGCTGAGAGGAGCTCTCAGCAAGGGACCGTCGGAAAAGTGCTTCTTTTTTTGCTTTGGTTTTTCTGCTCCGCTCAGCGCGAGCTCTCCCTGTCGCGAGGGCTTAAGTGTGTGTGTGTGTGTGCATGTGTGTGTGTGTGTGCGTGCGTGCATGTTTGTTTGTTTCTTTGGTGCTGTCTATGTTTGTTTATGTGTTTGAATGAGAGACAGTGTGGTGCTGTGTGTCTGTGTGTTTATACGGACAGCTTGTTATAGCCTCCCCTCTAATATATAACACTGTATATGGAAAGCATCGTCAATGCACCGTGATGCACCGAGGTATCGAATTGAACCGAAGGCATGATAATCGTAACCGAACCGAAGCGTGAGACCAGTATAGGTTCACACCTCTATTTAATACAGTAGCATTTCTGGAGCTTTGGTGTTGCCTTTTTAAACATCTAATTTGCACATTTTCTAATTAACACACCCGGTTAAAAGTGTTGTGCTTTTCTACATTTTTTCATACTTAAATATAGATAATGTAATAATGTATTCTATACCCACCTAGATAATTCTGGTAGCAGTTCCTCGTCTGGTTGGTGTTTGGGAAACGGGCATCAAATGGAGCCGTTCTGTAGTTCTTGATCTTCTCCTCAATAACATCAGCCATCTTCAGTCAGATATAATGGTTCTGCTTGACATAATAAACATCCAGAGATTAACAACATGATCCATGTACTAAAATAAAGTGCATCGTACAAATGTCGTATTAGGAGTGCAATGAAGAAAATGCCTAAATTCTTACACAGACAATCTCAGTATGGAACAAGCTACAGTCAGTCATTCCAGGTCTCATACTGTGAGACCTTTAACGTTACTGTTATAATATTTTTAAATACTTTAAACAAGCTCTTTCAACTTTAAGGAATTGCTTGTATATTGCAGTCAAGTCTGAATGCGTAAATTTAAGTGTATTACAGCCTTAAAACAACCCTGAAGTAACATAACCTTGATGTAACCGGTTTATGTAGCATGCCTGCTAACTCGCTAACAAACTCAAACGAATCATTCTCTTAAAACAGTAGTTGCTAGTCTGTGTTTTTTGCAACAAGGTAAACGAAAAGCGACTATACAGAGCTTTTAAGCTACAGACTATTCAACCACAACTTGCACTAAACAAATATAAATAGTTCGGCCTACCTCTGGCTGTGCCCTTATCGTAACGTCCTCTCGAAAGACTTGAGCGCAGTGAATTATGGGAAGTCAGAGTGTGTGGGCGGTAGTTTGAGGATGAGAGGAGGCGGAGCCAAAGACCACGAATTCTTTTATGATTTAATTTATATTTATCACAGTGTAATAATTTCTGTACGTTCAACATAGTTTACTATTCATTTATGCAACGTGAGGTAAATAACATTATAACACTATAGTGTACTATCATAGTAATAATAATGTAAAATAATATAATACATCTGAACAAAAAGCTGTAAACTAAAAAAGTTGCTTAAAAATATGATTTACAACATAAACATTAATTTATAATATTAATATAACCTAATATGTATCATTTATAACAAATTTGAATAACTTTAACCAAGAATTTATTATTTTATGTGCTTTATTCACACATTCATTACATTTTTATGCAATTTATTTGAGTTTATACTGACTTGTTTGTTTTTATATTGATTTCTGTTATGTTTATACAGTTGAAGTCTAAATTATTAGTCCTCCTTAATTAATAACCTCCTTTATATTTCCCCCAATTTCTGTGTAACACAAAGAACATAAGAGTTTTTAATAAACTTAGTCATTCATTTATTTTCTTTTTGGCTTATTCCCTTTAATAATCTGGGGTCACCACAGCAGAATGAACCGCCAACTTATCCAGGACGTTTTTACGCAGTGGATGCCCTTCCAGCTGCAACCCATGCCTGGGAAACGTCCACACACACACACACACACACACACACACACACACACACACACACACACACACACACACACACACACACACTCAGACAATACGGACAATTTAGCTTACCCAATTCACCTGTACCGCATGTCTTTGGACTGTGGGGGAAACCGGAGCACCCGGATGAAACCCACACAAACGCAGGGAGAACATGCAAACTCCACACAGAAACACCAACTGACCCAGCCAAGGCTCGAACTAGCGACCTTCTTGATGTGAGGTGACAGCACTACCAGTGCCACTGCGCCGCCTGTTTTTAATAAACTATTTAATAATTTTAATATCTCATTTCTAATAACGGATTTATTTTACCTTTGCCATGATGACTGTAAATTTTCCAAGATACTAGTATTCAGCTTAAAGTGCAATTTAAAGGCTTAACTAGGTTAATTAGGCAGGTTAGGGTAATTGTCAATGTATAACAGTGGTTTGTTCTGTAGACAATCAGAAAAAAAATATGTATAAAGGGGCTAATAATATTGACCAAAATGCATTTAAAAAAATTTAAAAACAGCTTTTATTGTAGGCAAAATAAAACAAAGAAGACTTTCTTCAGAAGAAAAATCATTATCAGATACTGTGAAAAATTCCTTGCTCTGTTAAACATCATTTGGGAAATATTTGAATATATATATATATATATATATATATATATATATATATATATATATATATATATATATATATATATATATATATATATATATATATATATATATATATACATACATACATATATATATATATATAATAAATATTATTATTTTTATTTTTTATTTTTTCCTGGAGGGCTAATCATTTTGACTTGCTGGGCAGCTAAAGTCATGCTTTTTTTTGACTAACATATTCTTTGTCAAATATTCATAATTTATTGATGTTGTGGCCACAGCAAATGGATACATAATTCTGTTTATTTATTTATAAATATATCATAAATGTAGTAATTGATACATATTTTGTATTTACATGCTTACTTTGCTAATAAACTTAACAAAGCATTTACCTGAAAAAAATATCATATGATCAATAAGTCATGACAACATATGTTTTTATGACTTAATCGGGTTTCTTTTTTTAAGTTAAACGAGCTGCCTTAGTCAGTTACATGTTGCACAAGTTAAAATGGCCCAAGGTTCATTTAATTTAATTAAAAAATGAAATCAATTATGGGTAACCACATACACTGTAAACATTCTCCTTTACTTTATATTTTTTAGTTAAATCAAATGTAATCTTCATCTCTACTCACATCAGTCAAACTGACTAAAAATAAAGAAGTTAAACTTTGTACAACTTAAAAAAAATGTTGAAACCGGATTAACTTATTAAAACAAGTTCAAGTAACAATAGATAAAACATGGTTGTCATATATACATGTCTACGGTAAAAATATATTTGTCATATTTGTCAGCTGAACATCCATGATGTAAATCTCCCGTTCCACCACATCCCAAAGGTGCTGTAATTGGATTGCGATCTGGTAACTGTGGAGGCCATTTGAGTACAGTGAACTCATTGTCATGTTCAGGAAACCAGTCTGGGTGATTCACGTTTTTATAACATGGTGCGTTATCCTGCTGGAAGTAGCCATCAGAAGATGGGTTCACTGTGGTCATAAAGGGATAGACATGTTTAGCAACAATACTCAGTAGGTGGCTTTGACACAATGCTCAATTGGTACTAATGGGCCCAAAGTGTGCCAAGAAAATATCCCCCACACAATTACACCACCACCACCACCACCAGCTTGAAGGGTTGATACAAGGACAGATGGTTCCATGCTTTCATGTTGTTGATGCCAAATTCTGACTCCAGCAGAAATTGAGACTCATCAGACCAGGCAACATTTTTCCAATCTTCTATTGTTCAATTTTGGTCAGCCTGTGTGAATTGTAGCCTCAGTTTCTTGTTCGTAGCTGACAAGAGTGGCATCCGGTGTGGTCTTCTGCTGCTGTAGTCCATCTGCCTCAAAGTTGGATGTGTTGTGCGTTTAGAAATGGTCTTCTGCATACCTCGGTTGTATCAAGTGGTTATTTAAGTTACTGTTACTGTTTTTCGAACCATTCTCTGTAAACCCTACGAAATGAAAATGCCAGTAGATCAGCAGTTTCTGAAATATTCAGAGATGCCATGAATGTAATGTAATGTATTACTATTAATGTATTACAATGAATACACTCAGAACCATCTTCAAATGCTCTGCAATAAAGGTGTTTGTTTTTTCCATTTATTTATTCCTGTGGTTCATTAGACCTGAATGCATCTCCAGGAGTCACAAGTATTCATTTTTGTTTTGCTTACATTTTTTAGACCTAAAATGCCAGCAACCATTGACTTTCATTTTATGAATAAGCAAAGACCACAGTTTCAGCAACAACAACAACAACAACAAATCTAATGTTTTAATGAAGAAAAATATTTGCATACAACAAGATGGCCTGAGGGTGAGCAAATTACCAGCAGATTTTTATCTTTAGGTCTACTATACTTTACTAAATTTCTACTTATTACCTGGACTACCTTGAAAGCAATTATAATGGAAGAGATTGCAGTTACTGTGCTTTGCCTTTGTAGGGCACTGCTGTCCTCCAAACCACCTTCTCCGTCCACAGCTGAAGTCGGAGTTTGAGAGATGATGTACAGTAAGAACCAGAGAGCGCGTGTTACTGTATGCGCATTTCATTCCAAACACATCCCCTCTGACCAGAAGCCAGCTTTCACTTACACACTAAAAACAAACATGGAGGGACAAGTCTGAATGACGCACACGAGCTTTCACAGGCTGCTGTCAGCGCTTCCTGTCTGACAGAACAACTGCTCACCGAGCTTTTGGGTTTTGGTCTGACATGATGCATGTATTTACATGTTATGCACGACTGCATGACGGTGTTAAATCTGGGAAAAATATTTTAAATAAGTGTTTTTGTCTATGAACATTTGCTAAACAAATAGGCTAATGGAAGAGCACAATCCACCAGACATTTGCTTGATAACTTTTCTATTGTTGTTTTTTGCATTAATCTCACTACATGTAGATTTTAGTTTTAAACAAAAAGTAAACAAATCAGTGCATTCACTGGTAAAATATGTCCCATTTAAGTATTATTTTATACAAGGAAAGTACTTTAAATGCAAATGAGCGTCTGTTTTAGTTAAAAAATGTGCCTAGAATGATGTTCTATAATCATTTAAGCTATATATTTATGTAAAACATAGTAGTTAACATATATGAAAGAATAATTAATCATAGCCTAGAATTTTGCTAATCAATGTGCAAATATTAGTGGTTTGTAGAAGTCTTCTAATTTGTTTCTTGTTCCAAGCCTGACAAGATTTCTTAAATATATACTGAATGACTTTTCAATGGTCATCTTCCATAAATCATGTATAATGGTCATTATGTTTTTCTCACAAAACTAAATTTACAGAAAAATAATTTTTATTGTTTATGCTGCTTGACAAACCCTATTTGACCCTCATATAAATATTTGCATTGTACAAACTCAAATAGGATATATAGCTATATACACACATTCACATATGCGGATATACACATGGCTCTTCTTTCCTGACACATCATTCTGTTGTTGACGAGGTCAAAGGTTACAGGTGCCGCTCTGTCTTTGACATCCTGTCCCAGGTTTCCTGCTTCCTCTTTTTTTTCGAGACCCTCAACACAAACTAAAAACTGTTGGATAAAACATGCTGAGGCAAGAGTTAACTAGTCTTGTGCCCATTGTTGGTACTTTTTGGGTGGTAAACAAATATACTTTATATGATTTGCGAAAGTAAATATACTTAATTTCCAGAGTACATCCTGCAAGGTCAGTATAGTGCTGATAAGAATGAGATTAAAGTATTGATGGACAGACTTAGTGTGTGACAAAAAGTCTTTTTCAAAAAATCTGTGGCAAATTCAAAATGTCCTCCATCCTGACTCGGCCTACTGAGTTCTCCGACTGTCACACCATTTCCGGCTCTCTTCTGTTTTTGAATGGACATCCTGACTGGTGCTTATTCCATTTTTTTAGCCTCACACTCAATATGTACAACAGTGTCATTGACATGGCTTTATATGTATACTTCATATTCCCTCTCTCTCTTTTTCTCAGGATATAGGTGTTGTCCATTGGGGAGGAAGGAAATTCTGTCATTTAGAACAATGGGCCTGCTTCTCTATCTATAGACGCAGAAACGGGAGATCGAAGTGGAGGGAGAAATAGAAAGCAACCAAAAGAACTTTCTAGAACAACTTTACCTTCGAAAATGGAAAAAACAAACTAAAAACTGAGAGAACGAAAAGATACTAAAGAGTCAAAGCAAGGCCCGAGGCAGAAAATGGACTGTTTAAGCCTAATACTTCTGGAGTAAGACGACACAAATCTGACCTCCATTGATATTTTATCATCCTGAAACTTTCCGTAAACAACAACAGCTATTTTGAAGATTTATCCTGAAATAAAGAGGACGTCCATCACAGTGGGTAAGTCGCATTTATTTGTCTCCAATGATGTGTAAAGTCATTTTACAGATGCGTTTTACTGATCTAGAGCTGCAGTCAGCATATCCTGAACGCCTTTCCCAACCCAAAGTTGTAAATTTTCTTTCTTGGTTGTTCTACATCCACCATTTACTCCGTAGAATGTGATGAAATCAATTATGGTCACCGAGTCAACATATTATAGTGAACTTCAGTTTTTTTGGAGGGACGACAGAGGGCAGATAACACTTAGGGGGTCTGCTCAGGGGTTTTCCCTGTCTGTCTGTGAGGATACATGGAGGTGAAGTCCACAATCAGGGCGGAGGACGAAAAAATGTATGTTATTATGTATAGCCGATGTTGAGCGCTTTTAATCAAAGGATGATATTCATAGAATGTGGTTTGGCTGCACGACGGATCCTCAGCAGTGATAGTTTCATGTCGGTTGATATCCTCGTCATGGCCTCTTGGCGAAGCCACTTGACTCTTACTTGACTTCCACCAGTTTGCTTAGCTCAGGAGCAACCGTGCCAAACCTCTGCTTTTCATTAGACATGTAGACATGAATGCGAAATAAATCTTTTTCTCAGAGCCATAACTATTCCCCGCCTGCACTGTCAACTTTGTGGCATCCGCTGCTAGTTGCACTGACGCTCTGTTACTCAGAGACTCTTAGATGACGAAGAAAGCATGACATTGCACATCCAGAATCAATGCGACATTAGCTTTCCCTTCCATTTTGAGATTAGATTTTAATAGGGTACACGTTACATCTTTCATTTCTATTGCTATTTATATGTATTTAAAGGAACATTAAGGAATTAATACAACTTCCGTGGAGTTAAACAGTTAGAGTTTTACCATTTTTTAATCCATTTAGCAGATCTCCAGGTCTGGTTGGAGCACTATTAGCGTAGCTTAGCATAAATAATTGAATCATATTAGATCATTAGCAACTTGCTCACAAAATTGAAAAAAAATCTTTTGAAGAGCCCCTTGATTTAAAGAGTCCCTATTTTGCATTACAAAAGGTTATATTTTGGTTTTGGGGGTCTCCAGCAACAGGCTGCTATGCATGCAAGGTCAGAATACCCTTTTACCCCTGCTGAAAAATACAACTTAAACCAGCCTAGGCTGGTTTAAGCTGGATTTTTCAGCAGGGATAGTATGCATTTATTTTTAACAAATTATTCCAATGGACAGCTGATGATAGCCACAGCAACAAACAGCAGGAGATCGGTAAATTGGTAAAGGAAGAAGCATGCGTCACGTTTTCAAATGGACGGTATATGTGAAATAGCCCATACAGATTTAACCTGAGGGATACAGTACAAGCACTGATCTATAATAAATATGTGATTACAAGCCGCGTGGATCGATTACAAGTTACAACACACAATTAAATACATATTTTGCAAACTACAGAAAATGAGGCAACCATTTTAATCACACGTCATGCTGTGTAGGAAGGAGTAACAGTTACTGACTAACAGCGAATCCCGCGGTGCAGGGTAGGTTATTGAATCAATCAGAAAAATGACAGGAACAAACACAGCACACGGTTGGCTATACTGTGATGTTGTTGTGAAAATGAACTTTAACCCTTTATTCCCCACAGCCGGCTATCTCTCAGTGATAGTAATCTTCGTGTCATGATCAATCCATGATTCCTCACACTGCTAGTGTCTAAAAGAAAAGGCTCGTTCATGTTTTACCCGATCCACTAGTTCTTATTTGGCAATGTCCCCTTTGACGTCGATGTGAACAGGCAAAAGATCCGAACAAAGGAAAAATCATTAATTTGACAACATTCGAGTCGACTTAATAGTATCAATAGTTTTTAACACGGTGCACTCTCATGTTTAAATCTCAGCTGGATTTTTCCATCCACTTAGAGCTGTTTCACACTGCATGGATGGCAATTTTCAAAAACCCATAATAGGGGCTCTTTAAAGCCTTATTTCTGTAGTTTACAAAGACTGACAGAAAATTAAAAGTCGCTTTTATCAAGGTCAGTATGGCTAGAAACTATACCAAATTCTTGATTGTTATGCCAAAATGAGAGTATAGCTCCTAGCCATATCAGCCTAGACATGAAACTACAGAGAAGTCAAGTTTTAAATAGGAAGGTTATCAATTCGTTTAATTATTTAAAAGTAAGATGCTAATGGTCTAATCCAGTGTTTCTCAACCACGTTCCTGGAGGGCCACCAGATTTGCACATTTTATATGTCTCCTTAATCAAACACATCTGATTCAGTTCAGTAGCAGAGACTGAAAGACCTGCAGTGAGTGTGACATCCAAAACATGCAGTGTTGGTGGTCCTCCGAGGATGTGGTTGAGAAACACTGGTCTAATCCGATTCAATGATCTTATGCTAAGCTAAGCCAATAATGCCCCCACCAGACCTGGAGTTTGAATGAATGTTTAACTCTAGGAGAACCGTAAAATGAGCCTACTTCCAAAAAAAAAAAAAAAAAAAAAAAGTAGAAAATCTTTTAGATGTTTATTTAAACTACTGTTAATAAGTTTGGTTAAGCCTTTAGATTGCACTTTAGGATGAATACTAGTATCTTGTATCTTGTGATATGGCAAAGATAAAAGAAATTAGTTTGTAAAAATTAGCTATTAAAACATTTATGTTTAAAAGTGTGTTATTGCGTTAAACAGCACTTGGCAAGTACAGTATACAAAAAAGAATTTAAATTTTACTGGAGAGCAATTATTTATTATTTAATTATTTGAACATATTTAAATGTTGAAATATAAAAAAACTAAATGGTTGAGCAAAATATGAAATTAAAATTTGTTTCTTTACACACTTTTCACTAAATGAGACATTAATGTATGTGTTCACCTGAATGCTATATTTAGCTTTTTTGCTCTAACAATTCAAATATGGGGCAGAGCGGTGGCGCTGTGGGTAGCGATGTCACCTCACTGGAAGAAGGTCGCTGGTTCGAGTCTCAGCTGAGTCAGTTGACATTTCTGTGTGGAGTTTGCATGTTCTCCCTGTGTTGGCGTGGGTTTCCTCTGAGCGTTCCGGTTTACCCCACAAGTCCAAAGACATGCGCTATAGGTGAACAGGGTTGCGGCTGGAAGGGCATCCTCTGTATAAGTATGCTGGATAAGTTGCTGGATGCTGGATAAGTTGGCGGTTCATTCTGCTGTGGCAACCCCAGATTAATAAAGGGACTAAGCTGAAAAAAACGAATGAATGAATTCAAATATGGGAAAAACATGTAAAAAAAATGGTTAAAAGGACAAATTCTGATCAGTTTAACCACGAAATTTGACTGTTTAAGCCTTTTATTCTGGAAAAAGTCATAATCCATTGGTGTTTGAGTATCAAACGCTGTTCAATTCTTCTGAGGCGGATTTCTACTGATTCCCAGGTCCTGCCTTTACTAACTGTCAGTCGATATGTACTGTAAGTGTGATAGGATGGTAATTTTGTTCATAGAATTATACTAAGACATGACACCGCTACCACTGATTAGCCTGTTTTTGTGTGACAGAAGTATACAACAAGGACTAATTTATTTCTCACAAACAGGAAAATTTTTCCCCACACTCTCAGAAACAATGGTATGAAAACTGTCACTGAAGTGGTACCTTTTAATACATTTGTAACTAATGTGTCCTTATTAATATATCTCAAGGGTACAAATTAGTGCCTAAAAAGTACAAAAGTGTATGCCTACCTCTTGACATATTTAGGTGCTAACATATAGTTAAGTTACCGATATGGATCCTTTTAGTACAAATGTGTACCATTTGAAAAGGTACCACATCGCGTACCTTTATTAGTGAGAGTGCACAGTAAGTCGGACAGCTATAAATAAGGCACAGCCCCAACAAAAAAAACTACAAAAAATAAACAGTACGTCTGGTCAGCCTGAATTAATCTCCACCACACAAAACCTACTAAATGAAATCATTTAAAAATGTTCTTCTTGTGAATTTTCTGACTGTTAAGACATTTCCCTTTCTGGCTTTGTCCTGCTTCCCTTCCGATCCTTCCTTTCCCCATTTATTTTAGTCATTTTATCTTTCTCTTCTCTACACTCCCTCAGATGGAGGAGTCTGGCAGTCCCCGATTTAGGAAGCTCCATTTCCCAGTGGGCTTGTGGATTAATTCCCCACGGAAACACTTTGCCAAGCTGGGAGCTCGATGGCCCAGTGCTGCCTCAGTCAAGTTAGTGCATTGAACCTGAATTTATTCATCTTGATCAAATAAACAAACCTGACATATACACAAGGAAGTAAAGAGAAAGCTCATTTAAATCATGTGCCAAGTTTGTAGAAATATATGCTTGATGTTTTGGTTTCATGACTCAAAAAAAAAAAAAAAAAAATTTACATTTATTTTTAATACAAATCATGAATTCATTCACTTTTTTGGTTGCTTAATGAATTTTAAACATCCATGAGGGCTATGTGTTAGAATGATCATTTATTAATATAATTTTAGTACATTGGTTTTTATTTAAACAATGATTTTTAAAAATTAAAAAAAATTCTAAAACATGATATTTGCATGTATCTCAGAGCTGTTTTTCCATTTTGACCTATGTTTCCTTAACTTCTGTGATCTCACTGCTGACATTTTAATTGTTTATTTTATTTATTTATCAACAAATGAATCAGAATTTTGTTTTCAGCAGTGTACATTGCATGTAATGTTTCATAAAGTTACAGTGACTATAGAAATCATCATACCCCTTTGAATAATGACTTTATTTGTCATACAGCCTGAGTAACATTCAGTCTCATGCAAAGCCAATAACCTGGAGTTGAATGGAGGACACTTAATTGCCACCTGTGTCAGTAATAACAAGGTTTCTGAATTCTACATATAGCCCCTATAAGTGAAAGTTATTTTTAATTAATTGTGTTATAATAAATATATCATGTGCCGAGTGTGCTTTGAAAAAAATTATGTCAAATTATGTGATACTTTAACAGAATTTTATTATTATTATTATTACTATATAAGAAAATGTATGGATATTTTACATATTGACCATATTTCAACCCTTGCAAGTTTGTTTGTGGTGTTTCAAAACAATTACTACTTATTAGGAAATGATTCTAACTTCAAAAAACAAAAGCAAGGTGCTTTTTTTTAAATAAAATCATCCTTTTAATGCAGTTTCTTCAGTATGATAGCAGGACAGTTGTACTTTGATATTAAACAACATACTAAGATAGAATATATATATGCCTTAGTGCCCCCACCAGTGCCGATATACAGCCATATCGCACTGCTACTCGCGTGATATTGCGTTTATACAATAGTTTGACGGCATAATTGTGTATATAAAAACAAAATCAAACATGGAGAGTCTCAAAAACCCTTTTGTATGAGGAACTACTTTCTTCCGCCTTAGATTCAAATCATAAGCTGACAATTAAACAGCTGAGCAAGCATCTTTTAAACTTTAGATCTGTAGTGTCTGCTTTTTGCTGGTTGTATGTGGGCGGAGTAATACACAAAGGGTAAAGAGGTTTTACGGGTGCTGATATTACTTTAATATATCATGGCTATCAGCCAATCAGATTCAAGAACAAGACAGAACTGTTGTATAAATATATATATATATATATATATATATATATATATATATATATATATATATATATATATATATATATATATATATATATATACACTATTTTTCCATATTTAATAGAATTAAAATAAAATAAATTTAATTTTAAAATAAATATAATAATAAATTGTAATTGTGTTTTGTTTATGATTGAATTGATCTAGTAATAAAATAAAAGTAATTATATTGTCATAGGTCTAATTGTTCAGTACGTTTCCTATAATTGATTAATAAGTGACACAGGGTCTCTGTAATAACTACATTAACACTTCTTATAGGGATGGAAACGTTGTGGAAAGGTTTGCATGTACTAAAGTGATGAGAATGTTTTGTTGTATATGCGTCAAAAATGAAAAATGGACTTTCAGGCATAAACAAAATACTAAAGTTTATTGCATTTGCAAAACAGCTTTCCTTTTTTCCTCTAGGCATTCAAATGTTTGATTTTCCGAAGCAAAAAAACAATGACTATAAAACATTTTTACATCGATTTACAGAAAACACTCGTAAATGTTCCTTGGTGTAACAGTTTATACACCACAGAATCTATTCTATTTATGTATCAAAGTGCTGCCCTAAAATACAAACTAATAGGAAATTAATTGAAACCATTTTAAATCATTACACTTTGCCAATGTCCTCCAAACCATCTATATGTCAGCAAGAAGGTCTTAACCATTTAAAGTGCAATCAAATATCACACACTATTTTATATATTTTGAGATGTACAGGTAAGGGTAACTTTTTAAATTTGAGATAAACGTTACGTTGAACGACACTGAACCATTATTTTACCTATATCTTTCACATTTTGTTTTCACAAAATGTTTTTAAGCATTAAAATCAACACTTTAATATGTGTTCTATATAGAGTTGAGGGCTAATTATTAGCCCTCCTGTGAAATATTTATTCTTTTTTAAATGTTTCTCAAGTGATGTTTAATTGTGCAAGGAAATTTCCACAGTATTTCCTATAATATGTTTTTCTTCTGGAGAAAGTCTTATTTGTTTTATTTGAGCTCAAATAAAAGCCGTTTTAAAATGTTTTAAATCACTTTAATGTCAATATTATTAGCCCCCTTAAGCAATATATTTTTTGATTGTCAACAAAACAAACCATCATTATGAAATGATTTGTCTAATTACCCCAACTTACCTAGTTAATCCATTTAATCTAGTTAAGCCTTTAAATGTTACTTTAAGCTGAATACAAGTGTCTTGAAAAATATCTAGAAAAATATTATGTACTGTCAGCATGGCAAAGACAAAATAAATCAGTTATTAAAACTAAATTATAAAACTATTATATTTAGAAATGTGTTGAAAAAATATCTCTCTATTAATAATGCTATAATAAAACTGTATATAATATGACTTTTGTAAACTAAATTTGATTCAGAAAAAAAAATGGGACCTTTCTTATCTTTGACCCACATACAGCACTGCATGTTTAGGTAGCTTAAAAGATGACAGATGTGGCTCATCTTTTTTCTGTTGCCATCAGATCCACCACGAGCTCAGATGCCGCTTCAGTGCACGAGGCCCCATCATCAGTCCCCTCCTCCCTCTCTCACTCCACCCCTTCTCTAGCCCCACCCTCTCCATCCCCTTCCCCCGCCTTCCTCCGCCCTCGCCCGGCCAATCAGCAATCCCGGGCCAAGCGTCTGTCCCACCTCTTTCTGAGGGGCCGGTCCAATAGCGACAGGGACCGGGCCATTGGAGAACGAGAAAGGGAGATATGGGCGCATTCAGCCACCCCTTCATCCCATCACTACCTGCCACCAGCCTCCTCTAATGCTCCCGGGCTGGTCAAGATCTATGGAGATGCCCTGTCCAGTGGAGCCAACTACAGGAGCCTGCTGGCGAATATGCACTCCACTGCCCGCCAGCTCATTCAGCAGGTCATCACCCGCTACACGGAGAGAGAGAGAGAGAATGAGAGTGAAGACACAGGTAAATATACAGTCATGTCAAATTATTTCAGTGGCCACAGCTGTCAAAACCTATATGTGACAAAAACAACATTAAAGTGCCAACCAAAAAGTGAAAATTTTGTATGTACACTGTAAAAGGCATTTGTGAAGTAGCAGTTTTCCATATTTTGTGATTCATTTTTTTATTTTTCCCTCTTTATTTATGCTTTTGAATTACATTTTAGGCAAGGCAAGGCAAGGCAAGTTTTTTTATATAGCACATTTCATACACAGTGGCAATTCAAAGTGCTTTACATTAACAGGAAGAAAAAAAGACAAGTATAAGAAAATAATAAAAATTACTAAAAAGAAAACTGATAAAAATGTATTTAAACAGGTTATAAAAGAATGAAAAAGAAGAGAAAAACTTAATAGTGCGATCTGTTGACCGTAGCACAGTGCTCATTCAGTAAAGGCACAGCTAAACAGATGTGTTTTCAGTCTTGATTTGAATGTGCCTACAGTTGGAGCACATCTGATCATTTCTGGAAGCTGATTCCAGCAGCGAGGGACATAATAGCTAAAAGCCAATTCACTCTGCTTTGACTGAACTCTTGGAATTTCTAGTTTATATGATCCTAAAGATCTGAGTGATCTGTTAGGTTTGTATTCAGTGAGCATATCTGTGAAGTATTAATACTTCAGTAATAATACTTTAAGGGTGCTTTCACACCTACACTTTTGTTTCGGAACGTGTCTCGTTTGCCCAGTTAGCGCGGTTCGATTGGCATATGTAAACAGGGCAATCGCGCTCTGTTCCGCGCCAAAGTAATCGCTCCGAGATCGCTTGAATGAGGTGGTCTCGGCTCGAGTGAAACGAACCCTGGTTCGATTGCAGTGAGAAAGCGATCCGATCTGAGCGCGGTTATATCACAGTGTTTTATGGATATGTAATAGGCTTACGGCTATATGAAGAGAGAATTATGAGTAGGGCGGGAAGTTTCGCGAGTCTCTGGATGCCTGCAAAAAAGTGATGATCTCCTGGTATTCTTGCGTCTCCCTCCCGGTCCTCAAATAGGCTACGTCGCGCACCCTCACCCCTCCCCACCGCGTCTATCCTCAGACACGTCACGCGCGCGCACCCTGTCAATCACCACCAAACCATCACCTCTCCTGACAGCTTAGTGGGACACTGCAAAATAAACCCTGACACTCTGACCAATGTGAGGAGAGTTTACTCGCACGTGACTTGTTTTAGCTCTTTTGGTCCGATTAGAAACTTTGCAGTGTGAAAGCGAACCGCTCCAAGAGCAAAGAGCAACAATGTAACAATTTTAATCTCTGTTTCGGAACAACTGAATCGATTCACAGGTGTGAAAGCACCCTAAAATCTATTCTGAACGTAACTGGGAGCCGGTGTAAAGACCTGAGGACAGATTTATTGTGCTCTGATTTCCTGGTTCTGGTCAGAATCCTGGCCGCAGCGTTCTGGATGAGCTGCAACTGTCTGACTGTCTTTTTGGGAAGGCCAGTAAGGAGAACGTTACAGTAACCCACCCTGCTGCTGATAAAAGCATGAACAAGTTTCTCGAAGTCGTCACTGAATAAAAAGCATCTGATTCTTGCAATGTTTTTGAGATGATAGTATGCTGATTTACTAACTGCTTTGATATGACTATTGAAACTCAGATCTGACTCCAGAGTCACACCAAGATTCTTGACCTTATTTTTTGTTGTTTGACCCTTAGAGCCAAGGTACACATTCACCTCGAGAATCTCATCTCTGTTCCCAAACGCAATGACTTCAGTTTTCTCTTTGTTTAACTGAAGGAAGTTTTGGCACATCCAACTGTTCATTTCATCAATGCACTGGCAGAGGGGGTCAATAGGGCGGTAGTCATTAGGCAGTAAAGCTGTGGTCACATTAGTGTTTGAGCATGGAATATTCTGTCATGCGGTGCTGCGAAAAGGGATGGGATTAAACAAGCTCATTAGACATTTAAAAAAGTGAGCGATTGCTCCATGGTTTCTGTCCAGAGAGGTCATGCTTTGATCCTCGATTGGTCTCACGCAGTCAAGTGATGCGATTTCGCAGGTCAGAGTTCACCAAGCTTGAACTCTGCACTGCAGCAACCTGCGAAACTTGACGCATGACCCTGCGTTACCGGTCTGACGCATTCGCGTGCGTATGAATGGAAGTCTATGGGAGGAAAAGCCCAGTGTAACTGCAGCTTTAGGCAAAGTAGATCTGAGTGTCACCAGCATAGCTGTGGTAGGAGATTTGGTTCTTTCTCATAATTTGGCTCAGAGAAATCATACAAAGGTTGAACAGGAGAGCTGCTAGAATTGAGCCTTGTGGGACTCCACATGTCATGGGTGTCCACCTTGACCTATGGTCACTCATACTGACATAGTAACCTCTCCCTTCAAGGTGCTCATTAAGACCTTGATCTTTCTTTCAACAATTTTTAACCATGAAAAGTTTAAAAAAAGTGACTTATGAACATTTTTAATAGTTTAAAGTGATATATTGTCTTGGTTGGTGCTCTTTATTATGGTAGAAAAACTTTGTAATAAACTGTCAACAAGGGGGTAGAATTGCCACATGGGTACATGTCGCTACCAATATCCACCAATTACTGAAAAATCCCCACCAATAATTGCCTTTAAAATAAAATAATGCTCTGTCAACCCTTAATAACCTAGAGGTGCTCAAAGGATTAAATCCATAGACATATATAATAGATAATAGGGATAAAAACGGTTCCATTTCATCACATACCTCTCTAAAGTTCTGCACATTCATATCTCCTCAAACCCAGATTACAGTAAATCATGTAAATTGACTTTTGCAGCACAGGACATGCTAAATTAATTGTTATTTGTATTATTAGGTGTTTAAATGTTTTTAAAAGCACAAAACAGAATTTGTGCTGTTCAGCACATGCGCTCTAGGGATGTACGTCCCCATCATTATCAAGAGCAAATCTACTCCTAAAGAAGTAAAAGCTCCCTTGCTTCTTTACATATTATTTCATATACATTATATTATTTCAAAATACTTAAATGTCAATAAAAGTCACTTTGTAAAACTGTAGAGTTGATTTTTCAACATCAGAAGTTGACGGAGCAGAGATTAATGGTCCCTTAATGCAGTTCACAACTGTAAATAAACAGAAAACACTTGTGAATCACAAAATACGGAAACTGTTAATTAACAGATATATTTTACAGTGTGCGTCACGGTGGCGCAGTGGCTTGCACAACTACTTCACAGCAAGAAGGTCGCTGGTTCGAGCCTCAGCTGGGTCAGTTGGCATTTGTTTGTTGTTTGCATGTTCTCCCTGTGCTGGTGGGGGTTTCCTCCACAGTCCAAAGACATGCACTAAAGGTGAATTGGGTAAGCTAAATTGTTCGAAGTGTATGTGTTTCCCAGTTATGGTGTAAAACCTATGCTGTGTAAAACATATGCTGGATAAATTGGAGGTTCATTCCGCTGTGGTGACCCCTGATTAATAAAGTGACTAAGGCAAAAATGAATGAATGAATTTTATAGTGTAGCTATGTTTCAATCCAACTATTGTATGGACATTTAGCACAATAGCTTAAAAAAGGCTAAATGGAAACACCAAGATGCAAACACATTTTGAAAATGCATGTAAAAAAAACTTATGTGCACAACTGAGTTGGATAAACATTTTATCCAATAAGTGAAAAGTACAAAAACTACAATGCAAACACATATACTGAATAAACTCCAGCATTCCATTCAATTTTATTCCATTAAACAATTAAACTCAAGCTTATTTGAGAGGGCTTTTATTTCAATCTAAATCAGAAAGTTAAGGTGTTGTGTATAGGTTGGACAGTATATATTCATTCACCTGCAGTATACATAGTGTCATTTTCAGAAAGATGATATCTGCAGTGTGTGTATAATATCTTTTAATAAATATTGTGTTTTCCATGAAGTATAAAATGTGCACAAAAGTAATGTGATTTTGTTTTAAGAGTCACATAACCGTAGCTAATCTATACTACACAATGGTAATCTGCTTTCATGTAGGAACTGGGGTGCATTGGGTCAAAATTAAAGAAGACCTTTTATGTTAAAATAATTTTTTAAGGGGTTTAAACACAGTTATGTGGCAACAGTCTATGAACATAACCAGCTTCTAATAGTAAAAATGTATTCATTTTATTTTTTATAAATCACACTTCATAAAAAACAGAAACATTTTGATTGACCTTCTCCCTTTGTACATCAAAGCAGGAATGTACACCCCATTAGTGACAATCTCTTCCTTATTAGCGCAGAACGTTAGTCTTGTTTTTGAATCTACCGCATAGGCATTTGTAGCTCCGCCCTCTTTTAAAAAGAACACAATCTCATTTAAATTTAAAGCGGCAGACACTAAAATGGCACTATTAGGATCAAAGCCAAAAAAGGGGCAGTTCTTAAGCTTTATTTTGAAGCTTCTCGCACACTCTAGGGACCTCAGAGATTATTTGAAATATTAAAGAAAGGGGCATGTTATATATGGACACACATTGTAAAACATCTGAAATTTAGTTTTGATCATCCTGAAATCTCTTAGTTAAAGTCTCATTAAAGAGGTTTAATATTTTACCTCCCATGCTCAGTCATGAGCATCTGCGATCCCAAAGAGCATCTCTGTCACGTTACTGTGATGAGATGAGGACAAAAATTTCCAAAAATAGGTTTCATGTGCAATTTTAATGATACAGTTTTCTTGGAATCTTAAAAGGTATCAAATAGACTAACAGAAAACTAATGAGACTCCACATAAGAAAACATCCACATGACATACAGACTCTGTGACAAACTTAGATAAGCAAGATAATTATAGTATAAATCCTCCTAAGACCCAAAGAAAAAACAATTCTTATTTTTTTGTGATTTCTTACATCCTTTGGGTTAAAAAAAATTCTAAAATTTAGAGTATTTACATTTTGTTTTTATTTTTAATTTTACAGGATGTCCACTGTAGTGGACCACAGGACCATTTTAATTCGAAACGACCACCACTCAAAACAAAATAGTACGGGTATGGCTGTAAAATAATATTAATTCAATATTAATGTAACAAAAACAAAACAAAAGCCATTTTTTCCTTTTATATTGAAATTCCAGGAACAATTTAGTCTGAAAAAGAGCCGAACTAAAAAAAAAACAAAGTTTATAGATGTTAATCCAAAATGGATGTTAATCCAAAATGGATGTTAATCCAAAACAATTTTTTTTGTTAATCCAAAAAAAATGAACATATAAGCGATTTAAAACTGATTGTCATTCTCTAAATGTCTGTAATTCTCTAATTGTCTGATTGTCAGACTCTAAATCAGTCTCCCTCAATTATCTTATAAAGAATCCTCTCTGCTTCAGTTCTGCCTCCTACAACATGCAGTCATTAATTACATTAAGAAGTCCTGCTGTCCACTATAGTGGAAAAAAGGATGATTTTGAAACACAAACAAGTTAACAGCTTTAAAAGCTAAATGTATTGTTCCTGACACTTTAATAAACAAATATACATGTAATAATAATAGTAAAAAAAACATTTAAAAAGCTAAATTTTACATGCCTCTCTTCTTCCAATAAAATGGGTTTTTTGTATGTCGGCCATTTTGGATGCAGTGTAAGAAGTGGTTCCTAGCATGCCAGCCAATCAAATGACAAATCACTAGAAAGCCCAGGATGTCCTCTGAACAGTACAACAAGACTTGACAGTGTAGCTCAAAAAATTTAAAGAAAATTCTTGAAAACGCAATGTCCACTACAGAGGACACAAGTCAACTGGCGGGGTCTCAGGAAGATAAAAGTAAAAGGCCAACAGTGTCTTCTCCAAACACATTGATGGTCATTCACAAATGTTTTATGCGATATTCCAGTTTTGTACATATACCTAATTCACATCTTTGGATGGAAACAGAGCTATTGTTGACTCACGCTCAACTTGTTCTATACCTGTTTGAGTCTCTTTTTTTATGTTGAACCAAAAAGAAGATATTCTGAAGAATGTCAGAAACCAGCAGCCATTGACTTCCATAGCCATAGTATCTTTTTTCTAGTATGGATAAAAAGAGTTCTGGTTTCCAATTTTCTTTAGAACATCTTCTTTTTGGTTCAACAGAAAAAATAACTCAAGAGGGTGAGTAAATAATGAGTAAATGTATAGTTTTGGGTGAACAATCCCTTGAAGGGGACACTTACTCAACACAATGTTGTGTGTTTTGACATTTCATCTTTTTAAAATTCATTTGATGGTGCTTTTGAGGTGTTTGAATTGTTGTTGTCATTGGTTTTGGAACTTTCATATAATTATGCATCCTAGGATTTATCTAAATCTTGTATTTCTGAAAAATAAAACATCAAAAGCAAGCCCCAAATAGTCAACATGCATTCTGAAACGTAACAGATTAGCTGAAGGAAGCTAGGCTTTACCCGCTCATTGTGCCTTTCCCTTCTGAATGTCCCGACTTCCTGTTCACCTGGTCAGCTCTCCAGAAATATTTCCCCGAGGACTTCCTGTTGTGTGATGTCATTGGAAAGCCCATTCACCAGGCAGATGGAGCTGTTAAATGGCAAACGGAGTGCCGGAGGGGTGTAGCGTCCTGGGAATGTCCCTTACAGCTGGTGGATATGTGGAGGCCCAAAGACGGTTTCGAGCGACGCTTCGAGATCCAGCGCCTGGATGAGTATGAGAGGGAGGAGAAAGAGAAGGAGAAGGAAAGAGAGAGGGATGGAGAAAGCTATCAAGGTTAGAACATCTTAATACACAGTCATGGTCTAAATTATTGGCATACTTAGAGAATGACAGCAAAAAATAACCATGCTTTCAAAAAAAAAACATTCATTCAATTGAAACAATGGAAAACGGGATGCCTTATTATGAAATAAATACTTTTCTCTATATCACATACACATTTTTGGCAGATCTAAACATATTCAATAGTGAAATATCTCTGAAGCATATTTACGTTCATTGTTTGGGTGAAAAAACTCAAAAGTGTTCATAGCTCTGTTTCTCAGGAATATAAATATAAAACAGAAAAGCCAAATTCTGTTATTCATCCTCAATAATGAGTAAACAAAAGTGTACAGTTCTGATATGTAGCAGAAGATTGTTGTGCTTCCAAAATTTGAAAGTGTTTGACAGAATAAGCAGAGGTTTGAAAATTCCATTTTCATTGAAATTCCATTGAAAAAGCATTCAATTAAATCAAACCAATCCAATGGAAACGTTATGAATCTTTCGAAGTAAAGTCAACTAATTGCTTTGAACAGTATTTTGTTTAGATCACAGCAGCATTGCATTCTATCAAATACCAACATAAAAGAAAGCCTGAAAGCCTAATATGCTAGATGTCTTATAATGGAGAAGCCTTGATTGAATCTTTCACAATGACAATGATAAAAAAAAAATCTTCTCACTGTAAAAAATTAAATGACAAAAAGTCAAGACAACAAATTTTTTTGTTACTTTAACTTATTTTAATAAGTTAATCAGGTTTCAGCTCAATTGTAAAAGTTGTACTTTATTTAACTTAACTTTTTGAGTCAGTTTCATTAATTTAAGTTGAGATGACTAGAAAAGTACATTTGAAAAAATTGTGAAGAAATGTATATCAGTGTGCCATTAGCAGGCCAGTCTCCTTATTGGAAAAAAGCTGGAGAGGACCTGAACAACACAATCTCACGGCAATTCGTAACTTTTTCATTTAGTGGCTAATTCGTATGAATTTGTACGATCTAATTCGTACCATTTAGTAAGATTTGCTCATCCCCCAATGACGGTTGGGGTTAGGGGTGGGGTTAGGTGCCACGCCTCCTTTTTAAAATCGTACCATTTCGTACGACTGAACTCGTACGAATTCGTACGAATTAGCCACTAAACTATACTTACGTTTTCCCGTGAGATCAGGCTGGACCTGAAATATAAGGATTTGAAGAGATGCTGTAAAGAAAAATGCTCTCTAATCTCTTTCCAGGTTTCCTCCAACAGGCATTTTAGGAAAACACTCAGAGATGTTATCAGGGCAAATGGAGGTTGCAATAACAAACAAACAAATAAACAAATAACAAAACAATTTCATCCAATATGTATTAGAATTTGTTTTAAATCAAAAGAATTGATTTGCACCCATTTTCATTTGTTTTATTTTAATGAATGATTTTTTGTGTGTAAATAAAAAAAAGAGATTATTTAGCTCATATTTACTAAGGAAACTAATAACTGTGACTGTTGTGATCTCTATGTATGTACAGTATAAGTCAAGTCCATAAACAAACAAATGCGAGATCTGCTGTGGTGACAGGTGTGCGCTGGAGGCGGAGCCGCATGTCTTCTGGGGGCGGAGCTGAGGAAGAGCGAGGTCATCGAGGGCGGAACTCAGAGCTCAGGAGGAGCATCAGTGACATGAACCTTAGTCTGAGGCGCCGACAGGGAAACACTGGCAATGACCCTCGCCGCTCTGGCTGTGCCCAAAACAATGGACAGGACAGGAAGAACATAGTGAGCATGATCGCAACTGAAGGAGGAGAGGTAATAGAAAGAAACAGGGCCACTTTTCAGCATGTCGCAAGCTCAATAATGTGAAACTGAACTGACAAGACTTATAAAAATAAAAATTAGTTTTGGTTCAGATTTGTATTTGCTCTTATGTCATTTAATTATAATAACAACATTTAATTTTGTATTACCTGTAAAATCTTACACATCAGAAGTTGAATCTTAAACTTCAAGATTATTTCTCATTAATTTTTAATGTTTACACAGCATGAACTAAGGTTTTCTTGTTATAATTTTTTTCAGAAAACTTATTACTTTCATTTGTACTTTCCCCTCCATTAGTTCTCCATAAATATACACATTTTACATTGCAAATGTTATTTTTAAACTCAAGCATGTACAAACACAATATTTTAAAAAGTCAAGATCAATTTTCATAATTTTATAGTTTACACTTTTTTATTTTATTTTATAACCTGAACTAAATTTGTTTTTGTAAACTTTGACCTTAATAGTTGATAGTGCACTCTTTATTTTTCAATAGCATAAAATCTTAAAATATCTTTTTAGAAGTGTTTAAAACACAAGCTTATTTAATACTTTTTGCACATAGTTTTTTTTAATAACTGTAAACAATTTATTTATTGTTCTAATTATTGTATAAGTTGTTCTAATTATAGTAATTTAACAATATATACACATAAACACATAATACATATTATTTTCATAAAAAAATCTCAAACAGAAATATATTCATAATCACAAATATATTCATAATCACCTCAAAAAACTCATAGCTGTATTAGATCAAAGCAGGGTTTCTGCAGGGTCTTAAAAAGTCTTAAATCTTAGTTAAAAATCCAAATTTTAGGCCTTAAAAAGTCTTAAAATGTCCTGAAATATTGAGCTGTAGGTCTAAAATATTTTTTAAACAGGTTTTAATTTTCCTTTCCATGCATCGCTACTAAATCTGGCCAAAACCCATACAATCATCAACAATCATCTCAATAAAACTTTAAACTTTTTATATTTTAAAAGATATTTTTTTATTTCATTTATCATAATGGTTTAATTATTTTCCTTACAATAACATTTTTTTTTTTAAAAAAGTTCTCCATGTATTTGCTGCTGAGGAAACTGACCTGGACAGATTGTTGTCCATAGATTTAGTTTATTATAGTTTTAAAAACTTTTAAAACATTTGATTTTTTTTCTTTTATTTTAAAGAAAGTTTATATTGTAAAATGTGTATTGATACAACTGAAGCTTGCTTGCTTTTACACAATATTTAAAATATTTTGCTAAAAAATGTAAAGTAAAATATTTTACTTTTTAAAATAGTAATGTATTATTGCATTATTAAATGTGTTAAATTATTTTTTAAAAATTTCATGGGGCAAAAAAAAAAATCTTTTCCATCTGGGTCATTTGAAAAATATCTTAGTTTTTAACCCCTTATGGGTCTAAAATTCCATTCATAATGGTCTTAAAAATGTCTTAAAATGTCTTAAATTTAACTCTGAACTCTCTAAATGGTGCTTCCACTAAATGCTGAACAAAGGGTCTGAATACTTCAAACCATGTGATATTTCAGTTTTTTTTTTTTAATAAATCTGCAAAAATGTCAACGATTCTGTGTTTTCTGTCAATATGGTGTGCTGTGTTAATATTAATGAGGAAAAAAAATAAACAAAAGATTTTAGCAAATAGCTGCATATAAGAGTAAAAAAATTATCTGAATACTTTCTATACTCACTATATAACTAACTCCAATAGGGTAAATGCCGAGCTAGTGTTTTACCCATACTGATACACCTCCGGTGACCTGTTATTGTGAACTTTTTTACATTTAATACATTTCCTTTTTCAGCATCGATGTTGTAATGTCAATAAAATACATTCAGTTAAACAAACTTTGGCATTCATTTAGTTGCTCAAGCGTAAAACGAGACAAAAAGCCGTTTACTCGCACGCGCCCGTCAGAATTGGCAGGCTAGCGCAGAAGCTCCATTGAATATACAGGGGTAAAATAAATGCTCATATTATAAAGACATGGCGGGGGAAAATGTAATTTAATGCAGTGCTTCTTGTACAATCTGAGACCCACTTTATATCAGATATCACTCAGCTAGTGGAGATCGCTGATTTTTAAAGAAAACAGACCTTAAAACGCGGCCGGTTTTTGCATTGGCATACAGTTCGCTGGAAGCGCTTAACCCAGGTTACTGGCAAATTAAAAGTCCTATTAGCATGCTTCGGCATATACCCCATGGCAGCCTCAAACTTTAGTTAAACACCATAATGACACATTTTCATAATACATGATTAATGTCCCCCATTCTCATTACCCTTCTACTTTCAGGTCAGCGGGTCAAGAGGAGGCGTCAGCGAGTCAGACAGACGCACCCGCGTGGCAGAGGAAGACAAAGACACCTGCGACCTGGAAGTGATGTCGCAAAGCCTGATCCTTCCACCGACAGACCGGCCTTACTTCCTGTTACTGCAGGGCTACGACCAGAGCAAGGCTAGACATGCATCAGCACACTTATCTCACCGCCATCCCATGACATCATACCTGTATTCCTCTAATCGTAACATACCATCGATGCCTTTATACCTCTGAGTGCAATAGCCATTGAACATGCATACAGAAGCTCTATATACACACGCGGGACGGACAATACCAACACAAGCATGCTGTGTCTACCTCAATGACCTCACACAAGCACACATTGTCGAAAACTGTAACACTCTTCATTCCTTATCATGGCTGTTTTTCTGCAACTTAAGATAGGAGATGGCACAGATTGTCGTGAAGACCACAATAACAGCTTTTTTTGCTCTCCCATTCTCCTTCTCACTCTCTGGTTTATAATCTGTTTAGGACTTTGTGCTGTACATCATGGCGGGTCACACTCATGTTTTTGGCCGGAAGCCGACGTTTCGTGAGCGCGAGATGGACAGGGAGAGGGAGAAGAAGGGGAAGAGGCCTCTAAAAGTGGACACGTACCTCTCAGCTCCTGACCTGCTCGCCCGACACCTTCTGATCAGAAGAGACACAGCCGTCCCAGAGCAACCACATGGTCAAGGTAGCCTGACATCTAAGACAAAGAATGACAGCACAATACAACAACATGAAACAAAATTAAATCTTTGGGGTTTCTTTTGATGAAATTGATCTTGTAGTCGTAATACCTTTGGCCCAGTATATACCTGGTATTGAATAAAGTGCATTTTTTCTTAATCCAATACCAATTGTGACCACAAAAACAATCTTATATTGCACCGTTAAAGTAAAAACTGCATAGTTAGGACCAAAAACTATTTAAAAAATTTTTATGCCAACAATCATTACAATATTAAGTAAAGACAACATTATTTATGAAGATATTTTGCAAGTTTCCTTCTGTAAATATATTAAAACAATCCTCTCAGTATTTCTGAACCCTGAGATTTTTAGATTGTAAAATAATTAATTCTCAGCTAAATACTGTCCTACCCTAACAAAACATCCGTCAATGGAAAGATTATTTATTTGAGATGATGCTTAATTTCCAAAAATTGACACTTATGACTGGTTTTATGATCCAGAGACACTGGATGATCATAAAGCAGGGGTGTCAAACTCAATTCCTGGAGGGCCGAAGCCCTGCACAGTTTAGTCCCAACCCTGCTCCAACACACTTACCTGTAGGTTTCAAACAAGCCTGAAGGACTCAATTATTTTGATCAGGTGTGTTTAATTAGGGCTGGAACTAAACTGTGCAGAGCTGCGGCCCTTTTGGAACTGAGTTTGACACCTGTGTCATAAAGCAAACGTAAATGCAGTCTGAAATGTTTTGAGCTTTTTCACCATAATGAGCTTCTAAAGATTAAAAAAATTCCCAAAAAGAAAAATGTAACACTTTACATTAAACGGCCATATTCCAAACCGCCAGTGGTGTAAAGTAACAAATAACCATTACGCAAATGACTGTACTTGAGTAGTTTTTCTCAGAAATTGTAATTTACTAATTAGTTTTCCCTTTGATTTTATCTTGCAACCCAAGCTCATTCTGGAAACGTAGCCCCGCTGACGTTTCTGGAGGCCGCGATTTACGTGGCCGGAGGTACGTAAAGGCCGCGTTTGGTTTTTTTCGAGCGAACGCTGCGGGGCGGTGTGGCGCCGCTCCGCCCCTCCTTTTCGCGCTCGCCGGCCGACGGCTCGCCTCCGAGTGGAGGGCTTTCCCGATGCAATCAGTTTGTCCGCTTAGCTCACAGCATTGCGTCGGCGGAGCGGAGGCCCCGGACAAGGAGGAGGAGGAGCCGGCCGCGGTGGACGATGACTGGGATCGAGTCCGGGGAACAGCAGGTTTCGGAAATCAGGTAAGACAAAAAACGGAATCCGAAAAATAAGGGCGAGAACGCGGCGGGATCCGAAAACGCAGTCGAAATCGAAGACGAGGGCTTTGCTTTTTTTTTTTTTTTTTTTTTCCGATCCGGCGGCTTTTCGCGCGAGAACGGCGCGGGCGCTAATGCCGCGCGCTCCCGAGAGGCGCCCGCCCGAGACGCAAAAAAGCGCGCACAGCGGCCTCTCGCGGATCCGCGAAAACAAAAAACGCTCGAATACGTACCTCCCGGGACGTAAATCGCGGTCCGCAGAAACGTCCGCAGGGCTACGTTTCCACAATGAGCCCGGGTTGTTATCTGCAGTATGTTTTTAGTGCTGTACTGGTACTTTTACTTCACTACTTTCCTTCAACCTGCAGTCACTACTCAATTTTTCCTCGTCTATGGGGACTAAAAAAATCAGTCTTGTGATTCATGTTCAATCAAATTGCATAAAAGGTAAATTACACCATAATGAACTACCTCAAGACATGGGTGATTTATAATTGCAGCAAACTGTTTTGAAGCGTCAAAAGTGTCCCAGAAGATGTACAAAATCGTCACATGCAATGATTTAGAGACTGTTTAGATGCATGTCACTGATGAGATGACGGATGTCTACTGTATGATGACCAAAATGGCTTTAAACACCCAGCAAGCACGACATCAACATGATGTTAGATTGAAGTTGTTCCCCAATGTCGTGGGGATGTTGCGTTTTGTTGAAAATCGGGTTGACATCAGAAGTAAACAGGTTGACACCAATGTCCAACATCCAACCTAAAATCAACCAAATATCAACGTCTAATGATGTCACAGCTTGATGTTGTGTGGATGTTACCAACATATCTATCAGACGTTGGATTTCGGTTGCCATACCTGATGAATAAATGTTAGTATTTGACGTCAATATGATGTTGCTTTAAGATGTTGGTTCGGCGTTGGATATTAGTCATTTTCCAACATAACATAAATTGAACCAAGTAATCTGACATTGTTATTGGATGTCAAAATAGCATTATCCTTAGACGCAGACTACACAATGAATTTTGGTCACCGGACATCACAACCTGAAAATAACCTAATATTAATGTCTTATGACGCAGTGTGCCTGCTGGGCAATGACTACAGTAAATGCACTACAGAATGATACGTTCACACACATGTAAATTACATGTAAATGCATCAGCTTTTCACAGCGTAATACTGGCTACTCACTACTCTTGAGTGCTTTTAAAAGGTCTCATACTCATTACTCATACTTTGAGTCATATTTACAACAGACACTATTACTCGCACTACGGTTAGGCAAATAATGGTACTTTTACTTAAGTATGATTTTTCAGCACTCTTCCCAGCACTGCAAACCATACAGCAAATGTTTAAACATACTACACTATCATCTACAGACCACAAACATGTGATGAGACAGTAGTAAGATGGACGATTTAAAAAGATTATTTATTCAGCTTGATTATTTATTTCAGATGATGCTCATTTTTAAAAAAAATTGACACTTGTGACTGATTTTGTGGTCCAGGGTCACAAATGTCTGCATACATCTGTGGTATGAAATGTATTTTTTTTACATGTGAATTCTGTTAAAAGTCCAGTATTTTGATTCGTTGTCTATTATCTGTTTAATACAATTTCAAATTACATAATAAGATCTTAATCTCTACTCTGAGCTCAACTTTTAATACTGGAAAGTTTAGCACATTGACTTTTATTGACAATTTTAGTAGTTTGAAATATTATTTGGAGTGGTCATGTGAGTTATGGTACAAAAACAGGCAATGAGCTGCCAGGACATGTTTTCAGTATTTTTTATGGATCATTTATTGTATATCATATCCTTTAAACTGCTAAAAGTAAAGGAATTAAAATTTAAAGGGCCACGCAATCCTTCCTGTCTAAGAGGGTGTTTTCACACCTTTAATTTGAAAAAAAAAAAAATTCAGAAAATTGAGTAATTCCAGCTTTAGGTGGGAGTGGCAAGTGGTGAAAACGGGAAGAGTTTGCATGAAAAGGGGAGTTTCATTACATGCACTACAGCTGATTTTCACACTGACAACACAAACACAGATGCAGGGGAGTGTTTGGGAGAGCAGCATTTACAGTGGATCTGAGAGATGTGTGGAAGTGGAGGATTTTCAGTCCATAATATTGTAACTATACTACTGTAAACTTAGTAACTAAATCATTTTGACTAAAGTATGTCTTTAAAAACTGAAAGAGTACTGCTAACAATACTAACTAACTCTGCCATCTAAATAAACAAAAAACATTGATCACACACTTACCAAATCCGTAGACAGGACAATCAACACAAACTGAAACCGCATCTTTTTTTTAAAAGGAGACGAGCGACATTTCACTATTTCCAGATTCCAGCTCTTGAGTAAAAATGTTTTCTACAAACATATTTTGTTGCATGTTAGCAGACAACTGAAATTCACATATGTGGCTTCTTATGTGTGCTGTGCTCTCATGGCGTTGAAAAGGAAACAAAACATTCATTGAGGCACATTTATAAAGGCAACACTGCTGACCCATGTCTTCTAACAATTCCTCAACTACTTGTTTGAATTACGGTTGGCAACACAATGCGCCGTCTATCTGAACAAGTATATCATGCCATACCTGTCAACCCTCCTGTTTTAACAGTTCTATCATCCCCTGAAGGTATTTTCCCATATTTCTCCTGTATCTTCAATCTTTCTGTGAAGGTTGGCAATAATACATGCAACCCATACCGCCAAACCACCAGAGGGCGACCCTCACTTTTAAATGCAAGTCTGTTCTGTGCTTACATTTTATTTAGGCATGAAAACACTTTAAAATAATTATAAAAACAGCATGATTCCCTTCCTTTTCATTACTAGTGCTGTCACACCTCCTATGCAATCCTTAAAACAGTCATATAGCGGTGTGTTATGGTGAGCATTATCCTTAGCTTTACATCCCAAATGTTGACAGGTATGTATCATGCATATTAATGAAGTTGCATCTCGTTCACAATAGAATTAATATCTCTTTCTCATAAATTAATGCACAGATGTGCTGAAAACTCAATAAAGTCACTTTGTACCAGCCAGTACAGACATCCAATCTCCATGCTAGAATTTACACAATGATCTCAACGCCGTGATGCAGCTTAAATTTCTTTTCAAACCAGAAGAATGAATTTGCTCGAAATAACAACCAATTTTCATATTTCACATTTAGCAATTTTTAGCTAAATATATGTGTCCTTATAGGGTTTTTTAGCAAAGTGTGACATACATATGGACTGTGAAGATCTCAAAAAAAGTGTTTTGGTGTTTTGTGACCCTTTGAACATAAAACATTTCGCAAAAATGCTACTGCATTTTTTTTACACTACCAAACTGCTTTAAAAATAACAGTAGTCTAAAAGTTGTGTTGTGTGCATGTGTGTGTGTGTACACAAAAAGACCAGCAGACATTTAAAATAACACTACTAAGAGTAAACTTGCATTGCCAAATATATAATTATGCAAGCATATGGCCAATAGCTATCAACAATATTGCTGCAGCAACAATGCAGTTAAAACGTATCAAACAAGTATAGAGTGTTTGGCTGTACACTATAGGCTACTAAATTACTCCTAAAGTATACTGGAGAACCCAGCAAATACCTTTTCCAAATTTTGATTTATTTAATTATTAAAGGTTGTCTATTAGAGTTGAGTATTAAAACACATCAACTTTGTTAAATAAAAGGAGATTAATGGTACCAGCAGGAGAGACTACCTTTATAAATTTTGGGTTTTCATTATTTACTTAACCTTAACATCATATTTTGAACTTCATATTCTTCCCTCACGCTTCTTTCCTCAGCCCTGGCACGTCCATTCAGAGGAGGACAAGCTACTCTTAATGGAGCTCCACTCTACAGAGAAGCAGTCTTAAAGCCAGGAGACCTTCTTGGTCTTGGCAGCCACTTTCTTTTCCTGTACCGTGACCCGCGTGTGACTCCCGTCCCGCCACTGGCACTACCGCCACCATGGCAAGGTGACATGCCGACTTCCTTCGGGCCCGGCGGGATGACAGACAGACAGGAAATGCTTCGGCTGTATCTTGGGTCCACAGAGTCCCTGCTGAGATACCAGGCCAAACATGCTGATGCCCTGCTGCAGGTAAACACTGATAGGATCTCATTTATCTGCCGTAAAACAAACACCAGTGCATGCCAATACACAACTCCCCTATCAAAACAGCCGTTTAAGGCAAAACTGTTTTGTCAAGCACCTGTCAGTTTTGACATTCTGTGCTTTTTTTTTTTTGGTCCGATGTGAAGAAGCAAACACGTTTAAGTGTTTCTTTTGTCACAGCTTATCAATTTGTTTGTGTATATTTCAAATTCAATGCATATTTTTAACAGTAAATTAGTTTATTCTCTAGCAATGAGCCACAAATCTCCACTTCAGCAGCACTTACATACAAAAAAACATCGGTTTTAATCATATTCTGTTGTGTTTTTTAACTGAGGGACATAATCTTCTGGACAATGAAACGAAAAAACATATTTTTTTAAATTATGAAGTAAAAACTTTTCCAAAATCCTCACCGTAAAACTTCCTCCAATGTATGGATTTGTCTGCTACAAATGTACACTCACCGGCCACTTACTTAGGTGCACCTTAGGTAACCCTGTTTGCCTTCAGAACTGCCTTAATCCTTTGTGGCATAGATTTAACAAGATTTAACACCTTTCTTCCCCATTCTGATGCTCGGTTTGAACTGCAGCAGATCGTCTTGACCATGTCAAAATGCATTGAATTGCTGCCATGTGATTGGCTGATTAGAAATTTACGTTAACAAGCAGTTGGACAGGTGTACCTAATAAATTGGCCGGTAAGTGTATACAAATATTTAGTGAAATAATGGCCCATTTGCTTATGTGGACAATTAACAAAACTAGTAATACAAAGTTTTATGCAGATCTTAACGAAATCAATCAACAGAGTAAATAAGGTAACAGTTATTAGCTATTTATATTTACCGGCAGTGTTTTGCGTTCAAAAGTCAGATCAGCCACAATTTTTGCATCATTGTTTAAAATATGTCATGATTAATGTACAATGAGGAAAATATTATCACTGGTTAACTGTAGTGACAAATACTGCAGTAGTTTCAGTTTTGCCATGGCTTCATAATATTTATTTAAATAAATCAGTTACTGCTTCTGCTTTCATTTCAGGAAATTATTTTAAAGAACACGAGCCCAGATTCAGGGGGCGGAGCTTTGGCACCTGCATATCTTCTGTCACTCATGATTGACTACGCCTCTAAACATCTGGATCCCGAATTAACACCACAGCTGCTTTTAAAGGCAGCCAATCAGATCAAAGGGATTGTTTGGGTGAGTATCTGAAAGTCTAAAGCGGTGAATCACAACCAAGGCTTTACATCTGTGATTTTTCATGTCATTTTTCATCCAACTAAATGTCTGCCAAACCAATATAAACTAAATGGAATAATAACAAAAATGTGGGACTTTTTTTTCACTTGAAATAAAACATTTTTTTGCATTTGTTTTAATGAATAATTTAGTCTAGAGCAGTGATCCCCAACAATCAGATTTTTCTTTATACCATTTATCTTAAACATACAAAAACAATAACAGTTTTAAAATGAATATATAAAGTAAGTATTAATGATTTATATTAAATTTATTACTTTTAAATCTTGTGCTTTTGTTAACTCGCAACTTTGCAAAATAAATTTGATCACTTTTTTTATTTCTTACATCTGTCTGCAAAATCAATATGAAACTAAATGGAAATACAGCTGCAAGCAGCAATCAAGGGGCCAAACAGTTCATGATATGTGAATATGTTCGCAAATTAGATCTTTTTTGTCAAAAATCTAAATTGCAGATGCCTAAAATGGCTGACTTGGGAAAACCAGACAGCATTCAACTTGGCATGCTCTGTCGGATGTGAAGAAATCAGTTTTATGAGTTTTAGACAAAAGGTTAAAAAGTCATAAGCAAAAAGGCTATTTTTTGTGTCTCCAAACCACTAGGGGGCAATGCACTGAAACGTGGCAGATAACCTCAGACCATGGTTGTCATAACACACATCAAGTTTGGTGTGAATATGTCAATGAGTTATGGAGATATTGCCTCAAGTCCATTTTCGCAAGCTTTATGTTAGATTTGTTTACAAATTAAACAAAAACGGTTTGAATTCCATAACCTTTGGTCACCATGTTCTGTAGATCATGTGTTTAAATTTTGGTGAAAATCGCACAAATGGTCTAGGACGAGTTAGGTCAAATAGGCTTTGCGAAAATTAAAAAAATTGAATATGAAAAAAATTACATTACAAAAAATGATGTCATAGGAAGAATTTTGATTGTAGTCCATTCGGTTCAAGAGTTTTAAAGATAAACAAAAGAGAAACTTTGGACAAAACATTGTGCCAAATTATACAACTTTCCTCTATATGGTTATACGGGCTGCCATTCAAATCTGGCGAAAAAGAATCGGAATAATAATAATAATAATAATAATAATAAAAATAATAATAATAAAAATAGGTACGCTAACGAAAATAATAGGTGCCTATGCAACTTTCCTGCTTGGCCCCTAAATATAATGATACTATATGGGACTCTACATTATTAAACATAAAATTCTTTTATGAAATTACAGTATATATTAAATGATACATTAAATACATTTATTTATACATAAATAAATACAAATACAATTAGAACATAAGTGTTTTTTCACCAATAGTACATTTAAAATGTGTTTTTAAAAGTAATTGCAGCAATAATTTTAATGATAATGTTAAATTACATCCAGGATGAGTAAAGTCTGGAAAGTTCAAGAAGCATCCTGATGTCCTAAAGTGTGAAATCACCGGCTTCAGGAGGAGTAAAGTGGTTTGGCTGTTTTATAACAACACTGAGATAGCTCTTAGAGTGAAAAAGTGATACTGAACATGACATGACTTAAACACCAAACAGACACATTTTATGCCTTATCTGGCTGAATCATGCTTTGGTCAAACTATGCCACAAACATAAGGTTAGACTAGCAATTAAAGAGGTCATGACAGATTTTTAAAACTGTTTTAATATGTTCTTGTAGTTCACTTAGTTATAATATTAATAATTTATCTATACAATATTACAAAAGAAGTTTAAACCATCATTCTGGCCCTCTTTGTAAAAATGTCTAAGTTTAGCCAAGACTGATCACACCAGTTCTACTGTATGCATCATAGGCCTAACAACATCCATAGAAAACCAGATTTCACAAGTAAAGCATTATAAAATGATCAATATTACTTATTGTGCGCAGCTGCAGCCAGATCCACTGCAGCTCTGCTTGCTCTCCTCTTTGCAGGGTCTTATTACGTTTGTATACTCTATCTACCGTAAACAGCACCACTAATTATAATTGATTGTACTTGCTTTTGGCGCAACACAATGCTGTAGTCAGGGGTAGGCAAGAGTTATGCTGCGTTCACACCAGACGTAGATGAAGCATCAAGCGTGAGTGATTTACATGTTAATGATGCGATTCGTGCAAATGTAGCGGCGCAAGATGAGCGTTTTGCACGAATCGTTAGTGTTGAAAATCTAAACTTTAGTGGACATTCACACCGATTTGACCAATCAGGAGCTTTCTCTTGTATGGGGCGTGATTATGACGTAGCACCTGTTGTTAGTGTCCTGAGTGGGAAAATCCTCTTGCTGACACCGGACAACAGTTCATCAAACAGGGCTCGGCTCAGTCGGAAGCAGTGTTGCCAGATTTAGCTGATACCAGCCCAAAAAATACGCTTAAAAACAAACAAAAAAACCCACCCTGGAAGTAACGTTAAAGGTTAAAAATTTTCTATACCCGCATATGTCATTTTTGACCCACACGATTGTGTTTAAAACTAGTCGGAAGCACCGCTGAAAGCCTCGGTATAGCTTCCGGAGGAGTTGAGGAACTCACAGAGCTGGGTGCACCTCTGAAAGGATCTTGTCTAGTAGCCTCGGACACGGTGCCAAATGAATATATATGCTGTTTTTAGCCTTCCCAAAGCACACAAACACAGCCATTCTCTCAATAAAATCCATGTTAGTCATTTAGCGATGAAGCTAGTCACCGGGCAGACAGAAGCCCTGCCCATGACGTAAATCTGCGTCTATTGTAAAGTAAATTTGACGCGTGAATAAAGCGAGTAGACTCAAAATGTTCATGTGTCTATTTATGCATTAATATTGAGATTTATTTTTGCGCTCCACATCTGGTGTGAACAAAGGATTAGTTACTGACTAACTAAACGTCAATGGGTAGAGCTGGGGCTAGTAGGCAACGTCTATGCAAATATACGCTTATTTCAATCGGCCGGAATTTTAAAGAACCAAAGCGAGGCTGCAGTGGGAAGAAACCCAGAAGTATAGGTGCAGAACTGTAAACATTGCAGTAACATGCTGTGGACAACAAACCTCCAGCTGTTGCCGAGATTTCAAAATGCAGTAATGATGTAAACATCACTTAAATATCATTCAGTAAGTTTAATTTAAACAATTAAAAGCAATTTAGCATCAAACAACATCTGTAAGAGTAATATGCTCAAGTGTCCTCCTGGGTTTCAGTTCATGGCAGCAGGAAAACACCCTGGAGACACTTTCCGGCTTCAGCCTATGTAACTTGGTGATTGATAAAACACTGCAGTCCTCTGTAGCACATCCTCGTGTTGTCTGTAATAGTGTTGTCCCGGTACTGAAGTTTTAATACTGTCTTTTTCACGCTAACATTGAAGCGCCGCTGAGCGCAGATGACTCGACTGATCTTCGCGGCTGCTTTGCACTCCAGTCTTCGTGTATCTGTGTTTGCACTCAGTTTACTGCTCTTCACCCAGTGCAAACATAGGTACACGGACACTGGAGCGCGAAGCAGCCGTGAAGATCAGTTGAGTCATCAAGTAGATCGCTTGTCTGTGTTTTACATGGTAAACAGCAGAGGGTGAACTGATGACCTTCTTGGGCAGTCACAAGCGATTCTGTTAGGCAAATAAAAACACAATGGCAAATCAGCGCTGTTTTAAGAAAGCCATCAACTTGCCTTAAATTTTAGCGGGAAATTGAGTTTTTTTCTTTTTATTCAGAATCGTGACACATCTAATATAGTGAAAGAATCAGTTCATCAACTTGAGTCTGATAAATGCCATCTAAAACGTGTTTTTAGGAAAGAAAACGTTAGCTATCTAGTGCCATTTCTCTTAACCTAGCTGAAAACGAGCTCTAATATCCCTTTTTATTTTCACCATTCATTCTAAACAGACCTTCGGGTCACTCGGAAGGCGGTGAAATTATCAATTTTTGTCACCTTCTCTTCGCTGATAAGATATACAGCCAGGTACACAATATTCCTATGTAACTCCCAACGATACTTCCGGGTTTCTTCGCACCACAGCCTCGATTTCGCTTTTAAAAATGGTGGCGCGTGAAATCAGCCTATATGCACTCCTGTGACATCACATTCAGCTTCATTGGCAGACAAGTCACTTTTACAGCTTTATTAAATAAATGCTTGGTTTATAATGAGGATGTTTCAAGAGTTGAACCCTGCAGGATGTTTTAATGTGTACAAGTGCACTTATTTGTCAAAAGATCAAGGCGAATTTGAATTCTCATGTCATGACGCCTTTAAAACAGCAGCAGCAGCAGTAATGGTTTATCTACAAGGCTTCAGACACTCTCTCTCTCTCTGCACGGAGCGAGTGCTGTGGTGGAGGAGCCGCAGCTGCAGACACAGATGGGCTTTCACTGGAATTTCGCCGTAGTTTGTAAACAGAGGTTGACTGATGTCATTTCCACCCGTTTGGAAAATGTGCTGTCATTGTCCGGACACATCAGCCAAACACTCCCGCCCATGCATTCATCCGAGTCTGCTTTAATCTCAGTCTCTCTCTCTTTCTCTCTCTCTCTCTCTCTCTCTGTTCCATTATTCATCTTTCAGGACAAAATTAAAGAGTTCGGTGACAAACATCCAACACAAAAGTAAGAACCTGCACCACCTCTGCATGCTGCACTACATCTGTATACACTGTTGAAACACTGTTGCTCAGTGACAGACCTGTAAACAGCAGATTCCTCTCACCTTACCAACACTGAGCTTGAGTTATGCCATTCTTCACTTAATCCTGCACTCTGAAATGTCTGAGCATGCATGCCTTGAATATGTACATTCCAATAATAAAATAAATTATAATATATTAGATATAAATTAGTTATGGTAATTAGAAATTAAAAATGAAATACTGAAATATAATTGGCTATACTAGCTTTGGGTGGGTTAAAGACACCAAACCCATATATATATATATATATATATATATATATATATATATATATATATATATATATATATATATATATATATATATATATATATATATATATATAAATATATATTGTTCTTATTGTTTCTTTTTTTAAATATTTCCCAAATGATGTTTAACAGAGCAAGGACATTTTCACAGTATGTCTGATAATATTTTTTCATCTGAAGAAAGTCTTATTTGATTCATTTCGGCTGGAATAAAAACAGTTTTTAATTTTTTAAAAACCATTTTAGGGTCAAAATTATTAGCTACTTTAAGCATTTTTTTTCCTGATAGTCTACAGAACAACCCATCATTATACAATAACTTGCCTAATTACCCTAACCTGCCTAATTAACCTAGTTAAGCCTTTTATTGTCACTTTAAGCTGTATAGAAGTGTCTTGAAGAATATATAGTCAAATATTATTTATTGTCATCATGACAAAGATAAAATAAATAATTTATTAGAAATAAGTTATTAAACTATTGTGTTTAGAAATGTGTTGAAAAGTTACTTTTAAAAGTAATGCATTACAATATTGAGTTACTCCCAGAAAATTAACTAGTTGCATTACTTAATTACTTTTTATAGTAAGTTATGCGTTACATTTCTTTTGAGGTACTTTGTGTTACTTTTTCATACCTGGCTGATGCTTGATCTCTCTTAGAACTTGCAGGGATTTTTTCCCATTTTTTTATATATAGAGCTCTGCAATTAACAACATACTGTATAACCTTCATTTACTAAAAAAAACACATCTTTTTTTTTTTATATAAATAAATAATCTTCTGACTAAGTCCTGACCAAGAGCTATACATGTCATATATACAGATTAATAAAAGTTTAAGAAATGTGTTTTCTACTTTTAAACTTGATTACTTACTAGTTACATAAAATAACTGTCCATTAAGACAATCCCCTTTTCCTTTTTGTCGATGCATTCAGAATAATGAGAATACTTACATTGCAGAAATTTCAGGCTCAGCCATCTTCGTTTGTGGATGGCGCATTCTTCCGTTGAGTGCGGGATTCATTTATAATTCAGCCATTTTTTGAGATCATTAATTAAACAAACTAAAAAGCAAATCGCACTACATTTAAAAAAAAGTAACTCAAACATTATTACTAATTTTTTAAAAAGTGATTTAAAGTTACTTCACTCATTTCTTAGAAAAGTAATATTATTACGTAACTCCCTTTAACCAAACACTGTATAGTGTCCATAGATTATTTGAAAAAAGTGAAAACAATTATATATTATATTTGTGTAGTGTACACAAAACTTTATATTTAAATATTTTAGAATAACAAATGTCAAAAGTCAAAACAAAATTGACGAGTAAAATACACTAATTTTCTACTGTGTTTATATTAGATATAAATTAGTTATGGTGATTAGAAACTGAAAATGAAATACTGAAATATGATTGGCTAAACTAGCTTTTGACGGGTTAAAGACACCAAACCCCTATATTATTAGCCCCCCTTTGAATTTTTCCCAAATGATGTTTAACAGAGAAAGGACATTTTGACAGAATGTCTGATAATATTTTTTTCATCTGGAGAAAGTCTTCTTTGTTTTATTTCGGCTAGAATGAAAGCAGTTTTTAATTTTTTAAAAACCATTTTAGTGAAAAAATTATTAGCTCCTTTAAGCTATTTTCTTTCAATAGCCTAAAGAAAAAAACATTGTTATACAATAAATTGCCTAATCATCCTAACTTGGCTAGTTAACCTGATTAGTTAAGCCTTTTAGTGTCACTTTAAGCTGTATTAAAGTGTCTTGAAAAATATCTAGTCAAATATTATTTACTGTCATCTTGACAAAGATAAAATAAATCAGTTATTAGAAATGAGTTAATAAAACTGTTATGTTTAGAAATGTGTTGAAAAAATCTCTTTTTTAAACGGAAATTGGGGAAAAGAACAAACAGGGGGGCTAATAATTCAGGGGGCCTAACAATTAAGACTTCAACTATATGTTTTTTAGTGTATGATTTTTGATCCCAATGAGACTTTGAAAACATTAGAACTAGAACTGTCCATATAACCTAAGCTTTTTTTTTTTTAGCCACAAACTAAAAACTTCAGATGTTGCCTAACCATGTATCCATATTTTAAAAATATGTATGAGAACTGCGCTTTAAACAGCTGTGTGTGGATTTCGTGCACCATCCTGAGGTTTTGTACCATTTCTCTGATGTGTGTTCAGCTCGGCAGATGCTGAGGTTGATCTTCCTCCACCGAGCGCTCAGAAACTGTCCTCTGACCTCCGGCCTCTCATGTTCTGGATGTCCAACGCCACAGAGCTCCTCAACTTCTTCCAGGTCAAAGTTGAAGCCCTGGAGAAAGAGTGGGAATTTGAAGGTGAGCAAAAGAGATCTTCACAATGTGCCATATCTTCTGCTTTCAATATCTTTTGTATGTTGTTAGACTAAATCAGTTTATTCTCATCTTTTATTATGACATCTTTTTGGCAATCCAGCTAGTCTAAGCAAACATCATGCCCTGCAAAATAGGACTTTATAAGCTTTAACAAGATTTATAATATAGTAAAACTACTTTATTACTACTACTTTTGTTTCATAAAATTATATTTATGGGATATAAATTGTTTGGGGCTTTGTATCTAAAATTTTACTCACTCAACTTTAACCTCATTTGTTGAACTGTTCTATAAAAGTAACAATTTCATAGGAAATCATTGATTATTTGTGAAAATTGCATTCTATTTTGAGTGATATTATATTACTTAAATGTTTCATGTCTTAATAAGATAAAAATCAACCCAAACTATAATTCTAACAGCATTTCGATTCATTGCATAGTATATACTTGTATTTTTCAAAGTAAGTGAAATACTCAAATTAATCTCACACATTATTAAATTGTATTTTTCAAAGTAAGTGAAATACTCAAATTAATCTCACACATTATTAAATATATATGTAACCCCACCGGTCCTACGCCACCCAACCCGCTCTGAGCTGAGATCGAACCGGCAACCTTCAACATGGGAGTCGATTGCTGTACCAAAGAGGTAGGGCTGGGCGATTTTTCTGATTTTTTCGATTAATTCGAATTTACGTTTTAAGACGATTTAATTTTGAATCAAATCGAGAAATCGCGATTTAAAAAAAAAAAAAAAATGTATACATTATAATGGCACCAATGCGCTTTGGTTCACTCTATGAAGCAGGAAGCACACCAGAAGTGCCTCTCAGCGACGCACCGCGCAGCACCAGGCAGCGCCATGGATTTTAGAATTCTAAACAGGTTTCTATACACACACCGGCCCCGCCCAGCCACGATTCACGAAGCAGTTCATATGTCAGCCTCGCCACAGAGCGCCATCTGATTAGTTTCATGGTTAATATCATGCGAATGTGCGCGTTTGGTGTGTGATAGTTTAAACTGTCATGTGCGCGCCATGTCGCGGCGCATCTGGTGTACGACCTGAATGAGTCATGTCTGTATGGATTGTCAAGACATTCCCTCATCCAGTCGATAAACTCGATCTCAACATGTATGAAGGACGCGATGTGTATGAAGTATGTAGACACACATCTGGTGCTTGTATTTGCTCCTGCTATACGTCCACAACTTCACACATTTGGTTAAATTAGGCTTTACAGTTTCCATGTTCAGTCCTTTACTTCCACTGTATTTTTTTTTAAGAAAAAGGCTGCAGCTTTACAACCTGCCATTTAATCAGAAGACAAAGTCAAAGCCGAGCTGACAGCCAATCTTTCCTGGCTCAGCAAAACTTGCAAAAAATACCTCTGTATTCCTGCAACTGCAATATTTACACAAATATTTCTTATTCAAATCTTCAGCAATGATATTTAACTCGTGAATTTGTTTTACATTTATTTACAACTTGACCGATTTTTGTATGACATGGCCATTAAAAATACAATGTTCCTTAACCAGATGTTTTTTTAAGTTACTTTTAATGAGAATGTTACTTCAGTCATGTTGTTGTAATGTTTTGAGAAGACTAGTAACACAATAAAAAAAAATCGAAATCGTGAATCGGTCAAACTTTATAAAAAACCTAGATTTTTTTTTTTTGCCAAATCGCCCAGCCCTACAAAGAGGCTATACCCATACAACTTCTTTTTGACCATGGCCTCTAGTGCCTGACCATGGCCTCTAGTGCCTGTCGCTAGAGCATCTTTAGAGGTCAGAGGAGTGAGGTTTACCTGCATAGCACTCACTAGCTGGCCTCCGTTACACTCACGCCCCTAAACCTCACTCCCATCCGGGTCACGGCACCAATATAACCCCGCCGGTCCTACAACCACCCAACCCGCTCCGAGCTGGTATCGAACCGGCGACCATCCGCATGGGAGTCGGGTGCTCTACCAACGAGGCTAAAGACTATGGCCTCTAACATCTGTCGCTAGAGCACCTTTAGAGGTCAGAGGAGTGAGGTTTACCTGCACAGCACTCACTAGCTGGCCTCCGTTACACATACGCATTGCACACCTACTTGGCAACTAGCAGTTGCTAATCTTTCGAAGATGATCTTGTAAAATAACGCATTTTACTGTCAATAAATACTAAAACAAACTCATCAGATCAACAGCTCATTAGCCGAAAAAAGAAATGTTATGGGTGTGACAGACAAAGGAGATATTCAAAACATGGGGTCCTGCAGAAACGTGGTTGAGAAACACTGAACTAAACTTTTTTTTTTTTTTTTGTAAAATTTGCATGAAATAATAAATTTGTGAAAGTACAATTAGAAGTATACTGTCTAGTAGATTCGTTTTATTATGCAGTTCTTTTATGCTGTTACAATTTAGGGGGTTTTACGCCTTTAATTTGACAGGACAATTTTGGGATTGGGCAGCATGGTAGTTCAGTGGTTATTATTCCTTATATATATTCCTTATATATTATTCCTATATATATAGCGCTTTTTCTGGGCACTCAAAGCGCTTTACACATAGGGGGGAATCTCCTCATCCACCACCAGTGAGCAGAATCCACCTGGATGACGCGACAGCAGCCATTTTGCGCCAGACCGCACACCACACACCAGCTGATTGGTGGAGAGGAGACAGAGTGATGAAGCCAATTATGATATGGGGAGGATTAGGAGGCCATGATGGACAGAGGCCAGTGGGCAAATTTGGCCAGGATGCCGGGTGAAACCCCTACCCTTTTTCGAATGACATCCTGTTATTTTTAACGACCACAGAGAGTCAGGACCTTGGTTTAACGTCTCATCCGAAAGACGGCGCTCACTGAGCGGTATAGAGTCCCTATCACTATACTGGGGCATTAGGACCCACACAGACCGCAGGTTGGGCGCCCCCACTAACCCACTAGCCTCACTAACACCACTTTCGGCAGCAACCTAGCTTTCCCATGTGGTCTCCCATCCAGGTACTGACAGGATGCAGCCCTGCTTAGCTTCAGTGGGTGACCATGTGGTAGTTGCAGAGAGCTAGCTGCCGGCTAAAGTTAATTAAGTGCTGATTACCACTGTCACTTCACAGCTGGCTGGGCCAGTTGGCATTACTGTGTGGAGTTTGCATGTTCTCCCCGTGTGTGTGTGGGTTTCCTCTTGGTGCTCCGGTTTCTCCCACAGTCTAAAGACATGTGGTATAGGTGATCTACAGTAAATTGGCTTTAGCGTATGTGAATGTGAGAGTGTATGGGTTGTGACTAAAAGGGCATTTGCTGTGTAAAACATATGATGAATTAGTGGCTGCCTCATTCCGCGGTGCTAACCCCTGATAAGGGACTAAGCCGAAGGAAATTAATGAATGAATGAGTTTTGAGATTGACAGGAAAACATGGGGTGCTGACAGGGCAACAGCATCAGTAAAGGACTTCGAGCCAGAATTTAAACTTGGGTTGCAACAAGAACCGTAGCACTATATGTCAGTACACTAACCACAAGGCTACTGACGCGTACTGAAGCGTTCTTAGTGTGCTCTTAGTTAATTTGTACTTTCTAGTAATTAGTGCTCTCCATGTGTCTTTACAAGTGCTCTTTTAGTGTACTGTTAGTTAACTAGTAGTTTTCTAGTTTTATGATGCAAGTGTACTTAACAAATTTGTTTCACTGAGGTAGGCTTTAGTTAAATTAGATGTTATTTTCCGTAAAAGTAGCTCAAACATGCATTTTAATCCAGGACTTGTCTTTAATCATTGTCTATGAAACCATGGATGTAGCCTATGTCATATTATGCTGGGGAAAAACATCATAGGCCACTAAAACAAGAATATTCATTAGATTTATATATATATATTTAAATAAGTGGTTGTAAACAATTTATATGGGCTGAATTTAAACAAACAAAATATGTTGAACATAAATTTAATTTGTTTATCTAAATTCACCTTTCATAAATTGTTTGCAACTACTAAAAAAATTTACAAAATCCGATGAATCATTTTTTTTCAGTGTACATCTCAAGTATACTTACTGTAGGATATATATTTATACTTTTAAGTCAATGAACAAGAATAGGCCATACAATACCTGACAAATGTAGATCCCAGTTGTAAGAGCGACAAATATTAACTTGACTTCTAGTTGATCATTTGGAAAAGTGGCAAAAGCTAGATTTTTCTGATGAATCATCTGTTGAACTGCATCCCAATCATCACAAATACTGCAGAAGACCAATTGGATCCTGCATAGACCCAAGAGTCTCATACAAATCCGTCAATTCTGGTGAAGGAAAAATCATGGTTTGGGGTTACATTCAGTATGGGGCATGCAAAAAAAATAAAAAAATCTGCAGAGTGGATGGCAACATCAACAGCCTGAGGTACAGTATTAAGACATTTGTGCTGCTTATTACATTGCAAACCAGAGGAAAGGGCAAATTCTTCAGCAGGATAGCGCTCCTTCTCATACCTCCACATCAAAATTCCTGAAAGCAAAGAAGGCCAAGGTGCTCCAGTATTGGCCAGCTCAGTCACCAGACATGAACATTACTGAGCATGTCTGAGGTAAGATGAAAGATGAGGCATTGAAGATGAATCCAAAGAATGTTGATGAATGCTGGGAGTTCTGCAAGAAATCTTTCTTTGCCATTCCAGATGACTTTATTAATAAGTTATGTGTCCTTGCAGAGATGAATGGATGCAGTCCTCCAAGCTAATAAGAGTCATACACAATATTAATTATTCTTTTACTGCACCACGACTTCATATTATTTCTGTTTAGTGACAAGACTTTTGTCGAAGCAAAGTCAGACCTTACTGTCCTAATTAAATAATTCAAAATCAAGGCATGATCATATTTTATTTTGGTAAAATAAGCATAATCTAGAGGCCTTTGCCTTTCATATAAGCCACTTCTGAATGATCAACTAGAAGTCAAGTTATTATTTGCTGTTCCTAAAACTTGAATATGCAACAAGACTTTGTCAGTGAGTGTATATACTGAAAATTTACTGTTAGTGTAAGTTAAGCACACTTAAAGTGATAGTCTGTATTCTGATGAACACAAAAGAAGATATTATGAAGAAATCTTTAAACCTGTAACCATTGACTATGTAAGTCAGTGGTTACAGGTGTTCAGCTTTCTTCAAAAAAAAAAAAAATTGCTTTTGTCTTCACCATAACCTAAAACATTTGGAATCACCCGATGGTGTGTAAATAAGAGTAAATGTTCATTTTTGGGAGAACTATCCCTATAGGTGTGATTTTAAGCATATTTCTGAAAAGTACCTAAAATGTAGTCTGAAGTAAACCTTCTTATTTTTTGTTTAAAAGAAGTATATTGATAACACACTTGAACAAAGTTCTTTCTTATAAAGAATATTCACTTTCTCAGTGTAATTTTATAGCCATCTTAAATTATTTTCTATTGAGATTGCTCATTAATCATCAAGTCAACTTGTACACTGAAAACCCTAATGAGTTGACTGAACGAATTTAATCAAGTAAACTCGTTAACTTAATTTAATTGAGTAATGGAGTCTCCCAAAACTTGTATATTTAAGTTTATTTATCTTGCTGGTTTGGTAAATTACACTTAAATTGTTCAGTTGAGTGTGTGTGTGTGTGTCTGTGTGTGCAATTATATACTATGAAAGAAAAATGTTTAAAAGAAAAATAAGTAGCCATTTATTACCATTATGGCGAATAATTATAAATAAAGCCTTGTTTTTCCGATTAAAAGGACCTACAAGGTTGCACATATTAGAATTTTACAGTCAAGACTACATTAAAAACCTCCTATCTTTTTCAAAGGATTAATTGTGATTTTGAGCTTACTTGAAATCTTAAGTTTATGCAATTTCATTGTATACTAATTAAATTAACTCTAAAATATTTTTAGCTGGCAGGACTAAAATGCTAAATTTGAAGTAATGTTCAGTCAACTTCACTTGATTGTTAAGGTAAAGACAACATTAGGGTTTACAGTGTCCTTTTGCATGTCTAATCCTAAACCTGCAGCTCCTGGTGACCCTGTTCTCTCGGCTGACATGGACACCTGCTCTGAGGCTCTGGCTCAGCTCGATGACGTCATAATGCACACCTTTCAGCAGTGCGTTTACCATCTGACCAAGGTGAGAGAATGTGCATCTGTCAGTGCGGCTTCGGCAACACAGGATTTATGTGTTTACATGTCTGTCTCTTTCAGACTTTGTACTCCTTGCTCCCTGCACTGTTGGACACAAACCCATTCTCCAGCGAGGAAAGGAAGAAAGCAAAAGCAGGAGTGAAGGACAAGACAGGTAGCGGAGGGGAAGGAGACGAGGAAGAGGATGGGTCAGCTTTGCCACCCACTGTAGCAGGATTGGTCGAGGTGTATCGCTGCTCTCTTCAGCTCTCCAGAGAAGCTTGTCTCTCTCCGCCGCTGACCTCCCAAACATTTGGCTACCTCTTCTTCTTCACAAACACCTCTCTTCTCAACACTCTCCTAGAGAGAGGTCAGTCTTTTTATAAACACAAGAGCTAAAGATCTAATGGCAATGAGTTTATATTTGGATGTGGTGTTTATAATGATTTGACTGCTCTGTTTTCTACAGATAATCTTTTCTCTTGGTCACGCGCGGTTCAGATTCGAACAAATCTGGACTTGGTCTTAGACTGGCTGCAAGGAGCTGGTCTTGGAGATATTGCGTCAGAGTTTCTGAAGAAGCTTTCAGTTACTGTCAACTTCCTGTGCATTCCGAAAACCCGCCTTATTCAGGTTAAAAAACAAACAAAACCTTGCAGTCAATATGTAAATAAACATGTTATTACAACTGAATTAATTTCCACTGTATCCATTTAGTCATCCTGGTCAAGTTTACAGGAAGAGCACCCCCTGCTAAGTCCATCCCAGCTTCACCATCTTCTCACTCATTATAAGCTCGGGCCAACGAGAGCCCCGCCTTCTTCATGGGCTCCGCCTCTCGGAACCGAACTTGGAGGGGGTGAGTAAAAACATAAAATGATAGGGTTTCTGTAATAAAGCTGACTGGCTTCCTGGCCATTGGGAAGAAGATGGTGGAAAACCAAGACATCATTCATTTTCTTTTCGGTTAAGTCCCTTTATTAATCAGAAGTTGCCACAGCGGAACGAACCGCCAACCTATGCAGCATATGTTTTATGCAGAGGATGCCCCTCCAGCTGCAACCCAACATTCATACATACTCATTTACATACATATACTACGGACAATTTAGCTTCCCCAATTCACCTATAGCGCATGTGTTTGGACTTGTGGGGGAAACCAGAGCACCCAGAGGAAACCCACGCCAACATAGGGAGAACATGCAAACTCCACACAGAAATGCCAACTGACCCAGCAACCTTCTTGCTGTGAGGTGACAGTAAATAAAAGTAAATAAAGCATAAGTGGCAGCCCCTCATAAATCACTGGCACTTTCACGCACACACAAGCACGTGGTTCCAGGCCCATATGTCATCCCTTATAAGTCTCGCTTGTCGACAAGCAAGGCCGGCCAATGATTGGGCCCCAGACCAGAAGGCTGACCAACTTTGAATCACTAAAGGCAGTGATTTCCCTCACAATTTGGTCATTTGAGACACATTTGGGAAATCCTAAAAGATTCTTATAATCCCGGGCTGTGGGTTTGTTGGTTTGACACATTCATTGACTCTCGATAAATAGCTATTGCAATCAGATTTTAAATGCAATGAAGTTCTGGCAGATTTCAGACACTTTCCTGCAGTGTGACACCAGCTGTGATGACTGTCAAATCAAGAACCCATAGGAGCGGGATTAGATAGTATATATATAATAAATAATATATATATATATATATAATAAAAACATTCATTCATTCATTTTCTTGTCGGCTTGAACCAACAACTTATCCAGCAAGTTTTTACGCAGCGGATGCCCTTCCAGCCGCAACCCATCTCTGGGAAAATATAAAAAACACTTAGTATATATATTTACAAATGTGTGTGTGTGTGAATATATATATATATATATATATATATATAAATATATATATATATATATATATATATATATATATATATATAAAAGCAATATCACATGAGTAGCAGTGCAATATACAGTCATATCGCACTGCTACTCATCTGATAATGCATAAATTTAGACAACAGTTCGACAGCATAATCGTGTATAAAAAATAAAATCAAACACGGAGAGTCTAAAACTCTTTTGTATGAGGAGCCAACACAAAATACATACATTCCTGATATATGAGTCCCATCTCACACAATGCACTACAATTACTATGGTATAAATACAGCACTGCAACATACAAAGAAGAGAGATCGACTTAGAATGTCACTCACCACTGTTAGAATGTTTTGATCAGCTGTAGTTTGAAAATACGTCCATCTTTTCTCCTCTAAGGGCTTATTATGTGGTCTCTGTCGACATCTTGTGGATGGACAATGTCAACCGTCTTGCTCTGCTCAATGGCAGGCTGATGAATGCCGACGTGTTGTATCTCAGAAATTAAAAGATAAAATAGACACTATCCTTATAAATAGCCTGCATACATGCTATCTAAACAACTAAATTGTCGACTAAAAAGCCTCAAAAGTGCATTACGTTGTTCAACTGCTGCAAATTTTGTCAAACTGTAGTGAGTTTATAGATCTGCGGTCACTCTATGTGGGCAGAGTAATACAGAAGGGTGAGGAGGCTGTAGGGGTTCTGATATTGCAGAATACTGCACGGCTATTAGCCAATCAGATACGAGAACCAGACAGAACTGTTGTATAAACTGTTGTACTTGGAAACACACATACACTATGGCCAATTTAGTTAATTCAATTCACCTATAGCGCATGTCTTTGGATTGTGGTGGAAACCGGAGCACTTGGACGAAACCCACACCAACACGGGGAGAACATGCAAACTTCACACAGAAATGCCAACTGGTCCAGCTGGGACTTGATCCAGCGATCTTCTTGCTGTGAGGCGACAGTGCTAACCACTGAGCCACCATATATAGTTGAATTTCCATTTATATATAAATATATGTTAAGCATTAAAGACTTAAACAAAGTTTAAAGAAAATCTCACCAACCCTAACTGTTTACTATATACTATAATTTTATTATATATAATATATTATTTTCTGTCTTTAATAATTGATCAGATATTTTTGAGAGTTTCCTGGACCATCCTCCTCTTATCCTGCCTAATGAGACGCCTCGCCTGGACCTGACTCAGCCAATCCCCAGCCCTGAGCTTCAGAAGGAAGTGACACGCCTGCGAACGTTCCTGTGGGGGCTCGACCAGGATGAACTTCCTGCTAATCAGCGGACGAGACTGTAAAAATGTCTTCACCCCATTTGTAAAATTATGACCATTATCTACTTTATCTACAAACTATCAGCTTCACGTAGAATACATTTCATCTGACATTCCTTCTTTCCTTGCCTATCAAGCACACGTTTGACTTTAATAGACATAAACTGGATCACTTATGATTATGTATAATTCAATGCATTAGTTAACTTAAAGGTAACTAATATGAGATTCATTGCCTGGTTGCAATGATAAATGAAATTTCCTCTTTTGTATTCTTTTAAATTAGTTTTTTTTTTTTTTTTTAACACATCCAAATATTCTACTACCATAAACCAATTTAAATGTTATGATCAGGCTAATTGATTATATATTTTCCCATTTCTTTAATAAATAAAATAACATACATCCTGCTGTCAAGTTTTTATTCATGAATTCTCATTCCCTTTTGCAGGAGAAAGTGTTGACCACCTGCTGTTCTATTAATCAACACTGGGTGGCATGATAGCAATGGACTAGTTAGTGAAAGCCACCAGTGGTCAGTTGAGTCAGACTAAAAGGCAAATCACTCACCATGACTAATATACAACATGTATCAGTATCCTGAAAATGTATTTATGTTCAGTTCTGGAAGGGATGTGAATTCTAAACACTTTACGGGGCATGAATGTGTTTTTTTTTATTATGGAAATGCTGATACTTGCATGTGTGCTTACACATTTGCATCTTAATCCACTGTTACTATAGTTATTGTTACTACTGAACCATAATATATTAGTATGGGATTTAATTATCTTCTTTTCAACTTCTTTATTTGATCATGGTTTGACTAATGCCTAGCAATTCCAATTTTATGGCAATGATACCTCTAGTTTACATAGTGTTTTGGTGGAACCTATGGTTACCAAGGTAAATATTTGTAAGGGTAATGGAGCATTTAGATATGCCTACTAGTTCCACCCCTGGGTAAACCCTGAGTAAACATAATTAAGGTTATCTTCTTTAGTGTCTCATACTGTTGACATACATGTTAAATGTGCATTACTTACAAATAAAGGTTCTTTAATTGCATCAATGGTTGCTTGAAGAACATCTCCATTCTACAAAAGGTTCTTTAAAGTAGAAAAAGCTTCAGTGTAAAAAAAAATTGGTTGACTTAAAATTTTAAAGCAATTGTTTGTTTTTTTTAACTGTTTTTTATTAAGCAAATTATCTGTGCATAATTAAAATAAGTTACAACCAATTTACTTACTTTTTTAACTAAAGTTACCTTGTCCCTTTTTAAGGCAACTGTTTACACATTTTTTTAAGTGAAGTAACTAAATGGTTTTATAGTTTATACAATTTTACAGCTCTTCAGATTATTTAAATGATCTTTACAGCAATAAATAAATCCTCCTTTTAAGAAATAGTTTCAGAAACATTCAATGTTGAACCATATTTTTTTTCTTTGACATTACTGCAAAAAAAAAAAAAAACTGTTTTGGAACCTTATAAGAGTGTTGGATAATTAGTCTGTGTTAGTCATATTCCTGACATTTAAACCAATGATTAACTTTCTTATTTATATTTATATGAGGGCAGCATCCCTCACTAGTATATAGTACTCTATATAGCAGGTATAAGAGCGCATCTAGATCTATTACTTACATTCATTCAAGTGAAAAAACAATCATCTAGATTACATTCATTAAAAAAAAAAAATATATATATACATATATATATATATATATATATATATATATATATATATATATATATATATATATATATACACACACACACACACACACACACACACACACATATATAAATACACACTCACCGGCCACTTTATTAGGTACAATGGTCCAACTGCTCGTTAACGCAAATTTCTAATTTCAGCCAATCACATGGCAGCAACTCAATGCATTTAGGCATTTAGGCATGTGGACATGGTCAAGACGATCTGCTGCAGTTCAAACCAAGCTTCAGAATGAGGAAAAAAGATGACTTAAGTGACTTTAATTGTGGCATGATTGTTTGTACCAGATGAACTGGTCTGAATATTTCAGAAACTGCTGATCTACTAGGATTTGTAAGCACAACCATATCTAGGGTAGAGTGGCAGTTCTGTGGGCACAAATGCCTTGTTGATGCCAGAGATCAGAGGACAATGGCCAGTCTGGTTTGAGTTTATAGAAAACATTAGCAACAGAAACTCAAATAACCACTCGCTACAACCGAGGTATGCAGAAGAGCATCTCTGACCGCACAACATGTCCAACCTTGAAGCGGATGGGCTACAGCAGCAGAAAACCACACCGGGTTCCACTCCTGTCAGTTAATACAGGAAACTGAGGCTACAATTTGCACAGGTTTACCAAAATTATACAATAGAATATTGAAAAAATGTTGCTTGGTCTGCTGAGTCTCCAGTTCTGCTGCGACATTTGGATGGTAGAGTCAGAATTTTGCATCAACAACATTAAAGCATGGATTCATCCATTTCACTGTACCCCCATTAAAGTTTATACAGGACTACTATGTGTATATCTGTTAGTTCATGAAAGGATGTGCTCATGAGAGCCCCTTTTGCACTTGTTACGCTGCCTCAATGCACACTATCACAATACACGGAGGAGAGCCCAACACCAGACTACCCCACAAACAAAGAGGTAATGAATGTGATAACTCATAAAACAGACTTCAAGGGTTTTGGGTGGCATTTAAGATTGGGCCTTGGTCTTGTATTTCTAGGACTGTGGCCTTATCCTAAATGACACCCTGAGCCCTTGAGGTCTTCCCCTGAGTACACACTGGTGGCACATAATGCTACTTTGACTGGCACATGGCCTAGATGTCTGCTCTGGCTTCAACTCGGCGTATTCTCATCAGAAGTATGGGGTACAGAAGTGTACTCACGAGCAACAAGGCGGTGGATGTTTAACCATGTTTATCTATCTCTGGAAAGGTCACCATGTGAATATGCTCTGGCTGTATTATTCTGAAAGAAAAAATAAATACAGATAGTAATGTCTCGAGGTGTCTTCAACAATTTTGTAAGATATACTAAATACAGTCCCAAAAGTACATTTTTAACAGGATAAAAAATAAATTGAGGCATTTAAACTACCGGTCAAAAGTTTAGGGTCAGTAGGATTTTAAATGTTTTACAATAAGCTTATCCTGCTCACCAAGGGTGCATTTATTTCATCAAAATTACGGTAAAAACTGTAATATTGTGAAATGTTATTGCACTATGAAATAACTGTTCAACAGTAGCCTATAATTTAATTATTTGTTCCAGTGATTTTAGTGATGAATTTTAAGCTTCATTACTCCAGTCTTCAGAGTCACATGATCTTTCAGAAATCACTTTAATATTAGTTATTACTATATTTATTTTTATTAATGGTGATAATAAAATAAAAATAAAATAAAAAATAAAATAAAGTAATAAAAGCAACAATGACTGGAGTAATACTTTCATTTTAAACTACATACAATAAGAAAGCAGTTTTAATAAATATACACTATACAATAACAATTTAACATTTTTTTTTACATTTAATAAACACCGCCTTAATGAACAGAAGAATTTTCTTAAAAATAAAACTAACTTTTGAATGGTAGTGTAGTTGATGGTTAAACAGCTTGCATTAAAGTGCCTTGGACATGCAACATTTTTCCCTTTTGATGTAATTTTTATTCTATATAGATTTCAAATTAGTCTTACATGTTTTGTGGTCTGTGCCAATTTAAACTGCACATGCAATCTGCTTTCTGTTATTAAGTCTAGACTGCAGAAGTTTGTGTTCCACTAACTTAAAACCAGACTTTATTCACCTAAATGGAAAGCATATTTACAAAGTCTGATTTGCTTACCTCATTAATAGTGCACTAGTTTGTTCCACTCTGCATAAATAAAATATAGTGTAAAAATTAACTGACTTAATTGCAGTACTTGTATTTATAGTGTAGTGGACAAAATCAAGTGAGAAGCTGAAGTGCAGATCGAGTGCTGTCATATCATTGAACCACATGTATTTATATATGAGTTTTAGATGCAGTTTTCTATTAACTGTTTGATTTTAAATATCTGCCCTTGTTTTGGTGGAACAATTTCTAATAAAACCAAAACACTTAAAGTTTGATTTTTAAGACACTGATTTGACTTTCGCATAAGGCCATTCAAACAGAATGCTAAAACACTGGTAGCACAATGAAATATTGTTAGTTCGTTGTTGTTTTTTTCATGGGACGCACATACTGCTGAAAAAAAAGCTTAAACCAGCCTAAGGGACATTCTACCAGAAACATACATTTTCACTTATAAAAAACATTTGACAGGGCCTGACTTAAGCTTGTTGTCCTCCAAAAAATCATACAAAAACAAGCATAAAATCATACAATTCTCCTCCATCAAATGATGTCATTTCCAAGTCATAGCCTTATATGTGTATTGCACGCATTTTTTTGTTCAGTTTAATGCTAATGCGACACAGGACTGACCAAAACATGGGGACAATTGTAAATGTATTTGTATTATATATTTGTAGTATTTATTTTCAGAATGTATTTATAGTTTCATGTTTTCAATCAATTGATGTGAATGAGAACAACTTAAACTTGCTATTTTTTTAGTTTTTTTCTTCTAAATAACAGTTTTTTTTAGCATAACAAAACTATTAAAGCTGTAGGTTCAATTGGGCTGAGGACAAAGACAATGAGTGTTTGTACATTTGCAAAGTGTTTTTAATGAAGGAAAAACAATCTGAGAACCAAATGAATGACATTTACAGAACAACCCACACAGCAATCAACCATCAGCCCATTTTAATAATTTTTGGGATGAAATTCTTTTTATTCACTGTATTCGTATTTTTATGTCAGGTACGCTTCTGGTAGAATGTCCCTTATGCTGGTTTTAGCTAGTCTGGTTTTAGAGTGGTTTTGGCCATTTCCATTCTAGTTTTAGCCATTTCCCATTCGGTCATAGCTGGGATGGCCATCTAAAACCAGACTGACCAGCCTGGTTTAAGCTGGACATATCTGGTCATCTCCTAGCTGACGTCCATCTGGAACGTTTACATTATTAAAATAAAAAATAAAGATAGGCCTAACGTTACGCGCTACATATCACTCAAAAACAAAGCAAAAAAAGTGCTTATTTCAAAACCCAGGGCTGAAGTAGTGCTAATAAGCCCTCACATGTGTATATTTATTTTAGACTCACTCAGTTATCTGTTAAGAAGTGAGGGAGAGCACACACTTCGCCGGCTGCTGTTTGTTGAGTTTCTTTTTCCTGATAAAACACATTTCTCACTCATGGTGACGTTCGAAAATAAACACTTACAGTCATGGATGGAAGTGGCGTCAAGTCCTACACATTTGTTTAGTTGTACATGCTTTTGAGGATATGAAAA